CTGCTCATTATTGTTACTATATAAATATATATAAATTGTTTTACAAACAGTGCTTTATACGTAATGTTAYGTGTTCCTGCAAGTGCGAAGGTGTTTGGAATGCGTCGGTTCGACTCTGCCCAATTGCGGTTTTTCTTTCAGCACTCAAAAWRGTCTRTTTKAACTTGTTGAAGCATAAAAGCATGTGTTTTTTCTGGCGTCAGTGTCACGAGATGTCCTTATGATATGTCTGGGGAATCCCCTCATTTCAGCGCTCATTGAACAATTGTTTGTCTGGGGAGGGGAAGGGAGTGATTCCGTACCTTTGATTTACCTTTGTAYATATCTTTACAATGACCACGGCYACTTACACTCTACAGCAGGTTTCATTCCACTACACACGGTATAACTTGTACATTTGAAATCATTTAAGAAAACCTGTKATTTTTTCTTCACCRTGGAACATTTTAAGCCCGTGGGATCCCCTGGAAGTTATAGGTATTATTATGTCTAAGYGAAAAAAAGCAACATATATAGTTTTTTGTTTTTTGTTTGCACTACTGTCTGTAAGTACAAACGGTAATAACAAGTTGGTTTTAGTACGTAATCACATGCAAACTAAGTATACAATATTGCGGAAGAATCACTTCAGACGAGTCTTGCAGCTCTACGAGGTAGAAGTCTACCATGGCCGTAAATCCATTTCGTCAGCTTCTTAATCACATCAGCCATGAACTAACTCGACAAAATCTACGCAGTTTGCTGCATATATGTGCACCTTACGTCCCTGAAAATCGACGAGAAGACATTCATTGTGGTCTGGACTTGTTTGAATGTCTGATCCACTGGAATATCATCGGCGAAGACTTGGAMAAGATGCATAATCTCCTGGAATTCATGCGAGAAATGCGACCAAAAAGAAAAGATATAATCAGAYCGGTCAAGGTTGGTGCATCATCTCTAAAAACCCGTGAAACAGATATTAGTTTAGGGTACACTCAYTGAGATTTTACGGGTTTTGTGTCCATGTTGATAAGAGCACGACGATAGAAAGCCTTATAAATCGATGATGTAATGATGGGAATCGGAGAACGGCTTTCTGTAAATCAATTCAGATATATGTAGCGACCCATATCTAGCAAGTGAGCACGAAGCATGCTTGGAATATGTTATTCTGAGTCCGATGTGCAAAAACCTCTGTAAAACCTTTCGCGGAGGCACACATCTTGGAAACAACAATTATGAYCTTGAAGTCTCGTTACTATTTCAAATATTAGATTACTTTAATTCATACTTGAAGAGATTTTCATTGTATTGTAGCAATACATACGTGAACACCACCAGCCGCCATGGGGGTTTGAAGAGAGTACTGAAACATGTTGTTCCAGGSCTACAAATCACGCCGTCGCAATTTCCCAACCTTATTACTTTGGATCGCAACACGGAATAAATGACCCCAGGGGATCCCCCAGGGGCTCAAGCACTCCACTACTTGGTTTCAGTGACGAAAATCAATACTCATGGTGCTGCATTTGTTTTGATTGTAAATGCATTCCTCGTCCTGTGCCGAATTGCTTCCTTGTCCTCGCCATTGTTATGTGTGTTATCGCCATTATCTTTGTAACTATCGTTTGGTTTTGTAAAATGCCTCTTTCCTGGAACGAAGGACTTGGTGAAGCCAAAAGTCCAGGCATAGGTGCTGGTATTGTCTGTGTACTGGTCTTACTGTGCTGTGTGACAGGGTGCATGTACCTCAAGAGAAAGGTTAGTTTTCAATCTCATGCGTTTTTGTTCAGGTTGTGCATCTGTCTTGATGAGGCAATCATCGAACATTCTTCGTGCTTGTTCATTCACAGTTGTTTCCCGTCGTGACACAAATTCATCATTTTCTGTCATTTTCTGTTGGTTATATGAATTGTTTTTCACGCATTTTTTATATCAGTTTGTCCCAGAATCATTGATGAATCTTACAGAGTTTTATCGGGAACTAAGCCTTCCAACCTTTTCACATGTGTCCAGTTATCTTCGAATCTGCTGATGAAAACTTTTTTTATTCTGTACAAAGTATTTGGAGTCATATGTGTACCGATGCGCATGATGGGAAGATTCAAAAATAATTGCGGATTCAAAAATATCCGGACACGTGTAAACCTCGTACGAACGGCCTGGGAACGAGGTTGAAAACTATAGCAATTGTGCTTTGTTATTATCAGGTTTCTCCAGCTCAAAACCCTCTACCGTCGCTCCCTCACTACTGCTCATCCGTGGAGTTCCCAAACAATTCGATGACATCAGGCTCCGCGAGGTCACTTCCTTACGTCACCACGAATATAAGGTGAATATACTGMATTGCATGGTACTGACATCGTGTTTACTGTAACATCGATGGGATCAAATCATGTAAAATTAATTCATTTGTTCACCTTAAGGCACAAGAAAAGACGCCGAAGCTCGACGTCCACTGTTCCTGTGGGTTCAGTCACGACAGTTGACTCCATCCCCAACCCCATACCATACATACCCCATTCTASAGGCAGTATCCCCCCAACCATTTCAAGCCAAATGTCCTACCCCGATGATTGCCATGACARCATTTTGACAGAAGAAGAAGGTACATCCGGGGACTATCCGGCATCAGGAGAAGAGAGTGAAGGTCCCCTAACCGTAGTGATGAACTGATGTTTTATTCATCACTGCTTTGAGTGTTGGATACACTAATTGATGACGAAGAAACTTGACAATCATTGTTCGTATTTTATTTGTTAAACAATGACATTTGACATCTTACATTGTAAGAATACTTGATCAGGAAAAACTGATACTATCAATCTCTATAAAATTTATAAATATTTTTCTAACTTTTATTTACAATCTGTATAAGGTTTTTCTTATGAAAAAATTACTTAGTAATATAAATATAAATATTTTTGTGACTCTGAAATTAAGGTTTATAGTCAATAATAAATTAATAATATAAATAATTTGTGAATATTAAATAGTGTGCATGCATGAATATACTTGGTACCAATCCTCCACCATCTAGACATCACAAGCACAGTCTTGTACTAGTGTCTCATCGGGGTAGACATTGATTACTGGTCGACATTTTGCATACCCATGAATCAGTATGGCTGCATCACAGCCCAGAGATGTGCTTTCGTTACATTCAATTGAATATCGGCCCGTCTTGGTGAGCTTAAATGATTTATTCTTGTAACAYGGATGCTTTMGTACATCGCGGCGAATTCGACTGTTAATGACGTCATCMTGTGGTGTTGTGATGGATCGCGTGGTCGCTTGGAAAAAGTACATGAACAGCACTAGTGCGCATGCCTGAAAAAAAAAACGAAACAATTTCTGATTATCATGATATTAGTCAATTAAAAACAATATGCATACTTCTTCAGGTTGTTTATTATTGTCTTTCAAGATTTATTTCAACAAATTACAAAAGAAAGCGGTTTAATAAGCATTTTGGTAGTAGTAGTGTATGACGCAAAAATCAGCTGCTATTTTGTGATCGCTAAATCCAAAAATTAACTGTAAAATGTACTGATTTGTACGAATAAGTATAACGACCATCTTTCGCTGACTTAGAGACTAATCTTACTAAAGCTCGGCTTCCAGATTTAGTCAATTTCCGAGATTTAGAGAGTTTTTGGTTCAATGTTAAATCGTGTAAAAACTAATAGTCGCCTACAACCCGGAAGTAAGAAAAAAAAGAAAAATCTTCTCTATTTCTTTGCTATATTTATCGCATTTTAACGTCTTCTTGAAGAGACAGATTTAGTAGTACGAAGAGGTGATAAAAATTAAAAGGAAAAAAAAAATGATAATAAATAAATGAAAATAGAAATTATGACAATAAACAATAAAATCTGAAAGCGACTCAGTTTTCAATACAACTTAACAACGTACACAGCTGAAAAAGAAAAAATAATATTCCGCAGCCCTAAAGCTATCCTCCATTTCAGTAAGTTTTCTTGAGTTAACCAACCCCTTTGTACGTTTCTGGTTCCGGTACCGAGTTGGACTATCAGACGAAGGTCATCTTGACGTTGTAACGCGGAAAATAGCTTACATTTGTGAACAGTTACAATTTACACGACAGCTAGTGATAATGAATGAAATTTCCTCGAATACTGAGTATTTTGTGCTCTAAAAATCGCTTTGGATGTAGGTATACCGTCACATCACACGGAAGTATAAAAATACCGTTGTAAACAGCTGCAGTAAACAAATTTTGTCAATTAACTATAGAAGTGTGTTTTACTATAAAACATTGCAAAAGGCATTGCTTTCAATCGTCATTCGTTACGAAAAACCATTGCAGTACTTTAGATTACTAGAAAACCATTACAATGCTCTGATGGTAGAAAACCATTACAATGCTCATTTTAATGACAATAGTAAACATTTGTACGTATCAGTATTTTTTGGCATAGTAAATCAAATGTAAAAGACATCATTTAAAAAACCGCAAATCGAGAACTGCATAGTCCATGTACTTGAAGCCATTTGAATGATCGCTAGTAAAAATTGCTTTATTCTTTTGGGACAGCTACTCTAATAATGGCAATGCGTAGAAAGCTATTGAAGTTCCATCATACTTACCATAACTTTGACTTGTCCCATAGTGTTTTCGTGTGTTTGTAACGATGAAGTAGTGACGATTGAAGAATAAAATATCCATGTTGTATATATACTCTAGAGCTGTTATTATAATAGAGCAATGACTAAATGTTGGTGTAATAGTAACAGAATGCAGTGTTTTCCCCTGTACGTTGCTTTGCTAACACGACTGCTAGAGGAACAGAGTATCAATTACTCGCTTTCGAATGGTCTCTCTAATTGGTTACGTCAATCTCATTATGATAATCCGAAAATGTTTAATCTTTTTATAGTTTCTACTATTATGAAAACAACTTAAGGAAATATTATGTATCATTTGTATGAATCAGTTAGTGTTCTCTAGGCGATTGATTGACAAGGCAATTCCCGCTTTTTTGAGCGCGTTCGTGAAAAGGGTRTGAGAAGGCTGTTAGTTCAAAAAGAAGCAAAAAACAAGCTTCAAAATATTGTAGTGAACAGTTGTATAGTCGATTCGTTGGTGAATGAATTACGTCATTCAGAATTCGCAAAATAAAATTCCCTTGAGTAATGTAAACACGATAGATTAACTAAGGGAATAATTTCTAGTGTAATCTGTAAGATTACTTCTTAAAATAGAAAGAATATGATTACTGTCACAATCCTCGTCATATAGATCAGTAAAGCCAGTCAGGGACCTTCATGTGCATTGCCTTGATGGTAACTAGTATACCTTGTCGTTTGATTAAACAAATTGCACTTCAGTTTCTGGTATTGATCTATCGATTGTTCAAGTTTGCAATTTGTTTCATATTTGTTTCTATGCTGTTTTAGACGATCATAAACTAAAGGAGTAAAGTGATATTTACAAATTAGGTGAAAATCGTCCCTTGTTCATGTGTTTCCTATTTCACAGACCTCCAAGAGCATATTCAGTGGGTGTAAATCGTAGAACAGCGTCAAAATAAAACTGTCATATTTGCCATGTTCATGGAGGATGACTGTAAAAGCGTCTTGGAGGAACTGATTCTAAATACACCACCCAAGGATTGCATTACTGGGGGAAACTGCATGCAAAGTTTTGTATATAACGGTGTAAAACTGATGCAGAGATGCAGAATAGATTGGAAAACCTGAGAGACAAGAATCGTACAACAAAAGACTTGAAGAATGGCTAACACCGTCGTATTGGTAAGAATGATTTGTATGTAATATGTAGACGGTTATTTATACTGTAATTACTACTTTAAATTGTCATTGTACTTAACAAAAAGTTATTAACCAACCATGCCAATAAGCTTGATTAAGTAGCTTTAGTTGTATTTGTAGTATATAACACAAGTAGGTGCGCATCATTTGTGACCGCTATATATTAGTCCTTTATGAATTAAGGTTGATCACATCTACCAAGGAGTATTGCAAATTGAGTCAAGTTAGTAAAACATTCTTGAAAAGTAGTAAGCGAGACAGCAGTTGACATCGGCCGACGGGGCATGAACCTGTATTATTATTAAAAGGATCTACCATTTAGTTATCTTTTGTCTTCGATGCAAAATGSGCKACTAACTTTCAAGACGTTTCACTCGAAGGATTTGATGGGATGGAARAAGTATAGTAACGGTTCGTGCTYCAGCCACGCCCCCACACCCATACCTTATTGGATAAGAGCCTAAGTACGAGATTGTTCACACTTTCGTTCTTCCTTGAAAACTTATTAGTAAATTTAGCCCTCTGKCTCTATTTCTTTACAACAAATTTATATATTTTTTATACTTATTTTATCTTTTTTCATTACAAGAACTTTATTTTGACAACTAAAAAAGCAAAAGAGAAATAAAACAGTTTCAATTTGATGCATTGCGCGCACTCAAAAAGGCGAAAGAAGAGAATGGGTACGAGTGAGGCTACTAATTACACCGTTAATACACTATATTTTGTAGGTTTCCTTGGCACTTGTGCTACTGGCATGCCTGTTCTCATTTGGTACAAGTCGACCACAACTAAGTACCTGGAGTACACATGCTCAAATAACGAGAAAAGCGAATCAAAGCCTCTATATTAGCAGACATAAAAGAGACAGTAACCCCTCKACCAGCGATGACAATTGCGTCAAAGTATGGAAAATTAATAAAAATGGTAGGGTTCCACAAGAGTGCAAAACTCATGCTTTCTCAGGTTGTGGAGGGAGCGCTGGTYTGTGCAAAACTATACCGTATACGATTACAAGTACTGGCGTAACAGGAATCATCTGCAAATGCGAACAAAAACAAGGATAAGCATGCTCGTACTACCTGTGGCAGCTTAACAGAGTCAGGACGTGGATGAATAACGTTTATTACTAACACAGGAAGACGTAAACCCGTGAGATAGATATCATATTTATCAAACCATAACTAACTACAGTTACATTCTGTTTCACGGTTTTGACGTCCACACTCTACAATGTTCTGACATGTTTAACCTCTATAAAGCTAACTGCTAGATATCATGTATATTATTATAATACTAGAGTGCAAGTCACATAAGCATGAAACAATTCTTAACTATGTAGTGCTAAATAAGAATYAGTTATCAACTAACTAAGAATTGAGAACAATGGTACAAAGGAATTTAAATAATTGGCATTGTGTTTATGCTTTGTTGAATTCTTAGTTAGKTGATAACTAAATCTTATTTAGCAATACATATTAAGAATTGTTTCATACTTATGTGACGTGCACTCTACGATTGTTTATGAATAAAGCAAAGAAACATATAAGACACTGTAAAAACAATTACTTTAAAACCTCTTTGGACGTGTACCATAGATATCATTGGGGGTGGGGGTGGGGGTRGCGGTGGCGGTGGCTACAGAATAGAGTGGCTAACAGACTTTATGTGTTGAKCTTGGACTTTTTGAGGTCTGTTGGTGAGAATCATCGGCGCCTCAGTCTTTGAATGACAGGATCGACCAGAATGTCGAGTTGCTCAATCAAAACTATCGACTTCATCGTTTTCATGCTTTAAGTTTGCTTTCAGCTGCAGTCCAATCGTCGTGAGCGCGCATGCCTCACTCATTCAGAGAGTAACACTTTCTTTTTGATAAATATTAATTTATTATTAAAAGACTAATAAAAGTCTAACATCTGATGAGACAAARTCTCTACAAAACAAGCCTTACAGCTTTATAAATATTTTTATATCCACATTACATATATTTGAAATATCTACACTATATTATGAATATCTATTACAGCCTTTTGCAAAAATTATGAGAATTGTCTAAATATCTAAATATCATAATATCCATATCCATATATTGTCGGGAACACGCGGTTTGCTAGAATAATTCATTGTTGACATCGAGAAAATGTTCAGAACTACGGATAAGTCTGTCGCCAAAAAAAACAACTAAACTACAAAGACAAGGGACTAAGGGCATCGCGCGAGATTACCCATCATGCACTCTATATTATGATATTTAGATATTTCAACAATTCTCATAATTTTTGCAAAAGGCTGTATAAAATGATATAAAATAACATATATATATAAATAGACCTTGATTGATGTACTTAACCCGTAAAAAAGGTTAAATTAAATTCCGGAATAAACAGCAGAAATATATCTGACAATATAAATTAAGTTTCCATAATCGTCAGCAACAATAAAAATATGTCACGAATCAAGGTTTACGTTCCTCATAAATAACTAAATCTCAGTGTTCTTATAAATATATGAATAATTTATAACTTTGTCACGCATTCTTGTATGTCACACTATGATCATTTATTGCACGTACACTCTGTCACRTGTACTTTTCCATCCTTGACTAGTTTTCGTTCACCGCATGTATTGAGACCGCACGAACTGCATGTCGGGAAACCTTTCATACATGTATACGTGATGTATTYCTTGCCGTTTTGTACTATTATACKTTTACTCGTCGCACATGGATGATCATATTTTACAGCACATCGTTTACTTCGTAACAGCGAAGCTACTGCTGACTTTGATGAYCTTTYWRMTRGTGRTTGTACTGACTTGGTAGTTGGAGACGACGTCGATGAWGATGAAGATGGTTTCCAAACAGCTTGCTTGGCTGTTGCTGGTAGCATTGATGATGTCGTTTTCACAGCTATTCTAGCTCCAAGTCGTTTGATTAAAATTCTTTTGAGCGTCTGAAGTCCATTCAAAGTCCTTCCTGTSTCTTTTGTCGGACTAGGGCGTGGCATACACGTGGATAAGCACGAGACTATAACAATTACAATTAWCTGAAACGATATTCAGAATAGAGTCAGTTAGAATTGAATTATTTWCCTCAGACATCGTATGCACATAAACTACCCTACCCCTCCCCTCCTSTAATCCTGACATGTTTTCGAAAGGTCAGCGTAGTATTACATTTCTGCTAAACTATGCAAAAGTTACAATTCKRACAAAACGTTTACGAGTGAATTTAACATCAGAATATTAATACTTACTATACAGTTCAACCGCATTGTTTCTTCTGATGTTTTTATGTACTGTGCGTAGATCAGGATGTCCTTTGATTACTCGTCTTCAACCGATTGAGATGGTTCCTTGTTCGTTAACTCAGTTAAATACGTTATCATACACAACGTAATTTCCTGTCAGTGATTCTGTAAGGGTTTGCATCTAGCAGTTGACGTATATTCTATATATAGACATATAAGAATGGGGAATTTCATGCCCAACCCATCCCGGCATATTAAACATGTTCATAATTGCATCATCGGTGTGCAAGTTTATTCAAGAGTGAATTACTAGTGTATTATGACCAGGGAATTAGTCCTGTAGATGTATTATATTCAAGATCTTTTCCAAGCTTCGACCATGCTGTCAACAAAAAAATAAATGAATAAATAAAACTGGACACAAAAATGATAAAAAAAACGTATCTAAAATGTATCTATTATAGTTATTTGTATGTAGTATAAACCTATACATCGCTCACTGAATCGCAATCTAGTTCGTTCTAAGTATTTTACTAGTGTTTTAATGACTGTTCATTTTCTGTTTTAAATATACCATTATAACGGCGATTATATGTACAAAGTAGTGATAGCAGTCAAGTTAGCGTGTTTGGGGGTTTTCCCCTACAAACCGGCGCACAACTCAATTATTGCCACGTGCTGAATTCCCGCAGAGAAAATACGCTCGATACGTAAAAATKTAAAAGCCAGCAATTCTAGTAGAGTGATTTTACGGGATAAAGTTTACTTATCTAAAAGTTTGCTCTACACTTTGAATCTGCAAGATTATCAAGTACGACTATTACACAAGCAGTCCGGCCAGCGAGAAACCATTCTAGTGTCACTGAAAACTAGCTATTCCAGCGCCACTTAAACAAATTCTAGTGTCCCGAAAAGTCTTTCTAGAGTCGCTATAAAACCATTCAGTGCCAAGTCGTTCATACTAGTTATCGKTTGCACTTTCGAGAATGTGATATAAGAACATTTGATCGGAAGTAAACCTCATAGTGTAAACTCAATGTTGAAATAACTACATTGTTTCACCTGTGGTTAATCCATATAATTTATTCATGTCAAATATGTATAGTAACTTGGATCCTTTAACTCAAAACGTTTATTATTCACTTCATTAATCAGAGCTTGTTAATTACATCCGAGCAGATTCTTCAGGAAACTTAGCATCCAATGAACAAGCAATCAACGTTTCTTCCTGTGCTGAGGCGAGGCGATATTTTAAAGAAACCATTTGAATAATGGATGGGGAAATGAGCCAAGAAAAATCATTTTTACTACCAAAAAAAGGATCATACCTTGAAGGAAATCACGAAATGCGTCATTTCCGGTTAAAATATCCCTATCTTTGCTAAAACTATCATGCATATTTTTTGTTCAAGGTTACATTGGTAAGAGCAGATATCAATGTTGAAAAGTGGTTTATTCATCTTAAGTCGTACACCCGAAATCATCGCCKTCAAAGAATGATACAATTGTTTCTCGTTGACTTCACATAATCTTTATAATACAAGATCGAAGAATATTCGAAGCCACCAAATGAGATCGTGCAATAGAATAAGACCACATGAGGAAGTGACAGAATTGAAACATCGATCCAGCAAGTCACGCAATCACTCAGTCTACTCCAAGTGGCCGCAGTGTTTCAATTTATCGCTTTACCAAGAATAAGCTGAAAGCAAAAAATGGGCGCCTTAACTGTCCTCATAGCTAACGGAAAAAGTGATAACGAGAAAACACTAACGTTGTAAATTTCGGTATTTAATCGGAAATAGGATTTTCATGCGGAACAAAAAAGTGATAACGCCCTTTGAATAGTTCCTATCTATCCAAGGAGGAAGAGGGGATGAGGGGAGGCGCGAGACTGAGGGGGGAGGTGTATATCACAATAGTGTACTATTCCTATGCAAATAACAACGTGATGCAAAATGACAAATGGCTCTTAGATTTATTAAAAACTTATATTACAAGTCTGAAAGATTCACATAAATAGCAATTAGAATAAATACGTTTATATCAGTGGTTACAACAGATTCGCAATATATAATTCAAGCAGTCTTTTAGGATTTSTTACATTTACACTCTGTCACACGTACTTTTCCGTCCATTTCTCGTATTTGTWCGCTACAAGTTCTTCCACTGCACGCTGCACATGGAGGGAAAGTGTCATAGCAGATGTAGTTATAGTATGTCTTGCCGTKTGATTGAAATGAAGTTCTAYTTTTCGCACAAGGAGGCAAAGTCGGATCGTGGTACTCGGTACAACGCTTTGTTCGTAACGATAATGAACGCTTGGTTACCAGTCCTACTGTTGGGCTCCCTGTGATATTTTGCGCATATGGGCGTGGCATACACGTGTGTAAATAACAGGTTATCATAACAGCAACGAAAACAGTGATCTGAAAATAGAAAGAAAATACTATTAGAGATGAAACTGCTAAACACTCGTTCCTTGTACATGTTGTAGCCGAAGACAAACAAGCAACCCGTGAAACAGTTGGACATTGTACATTCAATTGTTTTGGTATATTTGACTAAAGTAAATATCATCCAATAAATATACAAAAAACTTACAGTAAATCATTACATTATACAACAATAACTCGTCAATTAATGATCCAACATGCACTAACCTTGAACGACATCGTTAATAATTCTTYTAAGTGACACGTTTCTTCACTCGAAGGAGATTTGTAAAACACTGATTGCCATACTGACCCATATTTATACTCAACGTAGTATTTAATTTATTCAAAGTAATATTTAGCAATTGATGTCGCTAAGCTATTTGTAAATAAGTGTTGTAAAGATCGGGGATTTATTGCTTCAGCAATAATTTCAAAATACCGGGAAATGTCCAAGAGTTATGGTCTACTCATATCCACGATTAAGCACATCCAATTATTATGTTTCGTTTGTTAATGACTTCTGAGAAGTTTTTATGAATGATTCCTTGTTGACTTGTCGTCATGATTCCCGTCCTTATAAGGTCACTACAATAATTTATGATTCTAACTGTCACAAGGATTCATGAATAATTCCTTCAAATTTCAAAATTCCGCTTCCTGTCCTGACTTCGGTTTGGTAAATTAAAACAATAATCTTTCTCAKTGAATAATTTGCTTTAATACAATACATTTAGTATAAATTGCTCACAGAAAACGTTTTTTTGAAAAATTACAACATTAATTAATGACATTTGAAAGGAAATTCGAACAATAATTTTAATTCAACCATTGTTTTGTTCCTCTGCTGACGCGAGGCAGAGCTCTACAACGTACCTACATCGAAAAACGCTTACCTGACATGAATCCATAACCACTAAGGTACGCCGCTTCCGGTCGGGTGTTGTCTCGAGGATTCGTACAAATTGAGCGAAACTATTTTTTTGTAGATGACATATACAAAAGAATCAGTATTTTATAGATGATATATACAAAAGAATCAGTATTTTTCGCTGTATTTGGTATGTAGTTGATGAACTAGAGTTTAATAAGCATTAGTAAATATGTCGGTGATGACTTTCTAAAAGATATCACTCTATTCATCTAACAGGTATTGATTCTCATGTGTTTATTTGCTTTGGATAACGATGACCAGAAAAACTGAAATTTWAAAAAAAATTGCATTTTGGTCTTGAGTTTATAAATAAAATCAATAAGGAATCCTGTTAACAAAAATAGATCGTCTAAAACAAAGAAAAGCACATATGTAAATGTAACAGCGTTAAAACGGAAGCAAATTGTGAATATTTTGTCAGTAGAAYGACTACGCCTTGKTCTTTTCYTTGCGTAGTGCAATTTTCTCKCTTTCCRCGATGYWATTTTTACGGTGACACATCGCGGTTTAAAAAMTCTATTGGCAGAAACCTTAAAATGAAAGTMCTTTTTTAATTTGTTGTTTAATATTGATACAAAATGGCGCCAATTTTGACAAAGTACGTTATCAATAAATGGAGAGAAATCAGGTGTAGTGTCAGAGCTCTRCATGAATGTTTTGTYRAGAGTTTGTTATTGTATATTAATGATAACGAAGTTGAAATCAGGATAGGTTGTCAGAAGAAGATGAAAACAAAACTTGACCTGAAGTTTAACATACAACGTTCAAACTGAATAATAACAAGAATGAATTAAAATATAATTAATGTTAGAAATAGACTAATAGTTTTCCTTTTTTTCTTTAACAACCAGTAATATAAAAAAGTCATTTTCTTTTCCCGGCCGACGATAACCTTTTCTAACTATCAGAAAGCCACTATCGAATAACGATATAAGAATTCAACCAATCACAAACGCGCATGTGTGAAATACGTGTCCCACTGTCCACAGTGCACGCAGTAAGCAGCTGTGTCAATARCAGCCTCAATGATTCACAATAACCAATCTCTACATAGATCGTTAGTTAACTAAGATATGGCAGTCGGTCTGGTCGTACTAGCATGGTTGATAGTGTATTGTGCTTGCAATTCTCAACATGAATTCCTTAATCGTAAAACGCACAGCGCACACGACGACCATRTTGCTTTCTTAGGAGARGAAATGGCCAATGAATTTGAGCACCTCACCCCTGAAGAATCAAAGCGGAGACTAAGGTAGGTGGTACATGCGAAAGAATGATATTTCGCAATCTTGTATCAAGAAATTTTGATTTTCAAAAAACAAAACATAAAGAAAAACATAAATCTCACTTCCCAAAATTCTCACTGTCCAAAATGCGCGTGCGATTACGATATAATTAAGTGTCCTATTTTTTATCTTGCTAAAGTAGTGCGTTCTTTGTGGAAGTGTTTATTCAGGCTTGGCCTGTACATACATCACGTGACCAAAGAATCTCTGACCACCTGTTATGACTTGTTGTCATGGTGATCAACAACGCTTTTTTTTGTTTTGTTTAAAACTGAGTAATATAATTAGTTTTGAATGAACGTCGTTTCAGTTTAAACTTTGTGGTTTAACAATAATGCTGACTGTTTTTGTAGTTCACTCTAGTGTGTTTTTCTTCGTTCCYAGACTACTCGTTCCCAGGATTGATATCAATAAAGATGGTTACGTAGAAGAGGCAGAGTTAGAGATCTGGGTCCGACACAAGATGAAGAAATGGGAAGTAGAAGAGGACGTGGATGCGATCTTCCGGGAYCTGGACACTAAYAATGAYGACCAGGTCACGTGGAAGGAGTTTATGAAGAGAACCTATGGATTTCCGGAAGAACGTACGATAAAACCATCATTTTTATTGGTTAATACGAGTAATGTTCAATAAAACAAGCATTTTGATTGGTTACCAACGGTTACATTTTCAGATCTGCACAAAAACTGGGAACGAAAGAACTTAGAACCTTACGTRATGGACGACAAGAGAAAATGGAAGTACGCTGACCAGAATAAGAATGKCAGGCTCACACGAGAAGAATACGAGTACTTCCATCACCCAAAAGAACAYGAAGCTATGATTACTTATGTTGCTATGGTAATGTCATGGTAATATATATTCCTAGGGTGGTATCACCATGGTTATTGGTGGTCCATGGACAATATGAGGAGCTTTTCTATGATAACGGTCGCGACAGCCTACAAACACTTGTTATACCAATTGATTGCGACATAAATCTAATTAAAAATTTCTCTATCAGAAAGTAATGATTGAAGCCGACACCGATAAAGATGGATACTTGTCATTGGACGAATACCTTGGTATTTCAAATCCATTTTCTTAATTTTACTTTATCTTCTTTAACGCTATTTATATTTCCTGTCGATTGCAGCATGGATCGATATGCCCGAGTTCTACGTGACGGATAAACCTGACTTTACTGAGAAGTACGACCAGAATAGAGACGGGAAACTCGACCTGGTAAGACAAAGATTCTCTACAATATAATATTCAACTAATGAAGACAGGAAAAAACTTAAAATCTAATGCAAGAATTAACTTAGGTGAAAATGTAGAATTTGTGTTGTGGTCGTTTCAAAACTTGATCGGAGTAGTTTAYAATATAACCATGTTTGWYTTACTACTGATGAATATTAGATTAATATTTGAACCATTGGACGAGGATTTGCAATGTAAAACAGGGGGTGTGGCGTGTTATAAATATCTGTTTTTACTGAGTAGAAGGAGGTAGAAGACTGGAGACGACCAAAAAATTAYAACAAGGCACAAGAAGAAGCTCAACACTTGATTGAACACGCTGATTTAAATAAGGTAATCATGCCTAAATAAGGACATTTTACCTAAATAAGGACATTTTGCCTAAATAAGGTAATCATGTCTAAATAAGGACATTTTGTCTAAATAAGGAAATTTTGCGTAGTCATAGGCTAATATTTTGACTTTCTTTCACTTGACCAGGACGGCAAGCTGGATGCAAATGAGATCGTCACCAGCAGTGAGTTCTTTGCTGGAAGCTATGTTACTCAGTTTGGACAGACACTACACGAYGAGTTTTAGAATCCAAAATCAAACGATATTATCAAAGTGGAGAAGTTCTGGTAATTCTTCCACAATCAAAATGCTTTCTGTCAGTGCTTTGTTTTAGTTGCATACATTTTTATTGTAAAATCAATATTTGGGATTTGCAATAAATGAGTTTTAGAGGGAAATACTATTACCGGGAATTATTAAGAATGCCTTCGGCTCCCCAGTMATTGGCTTACACCGTTGGGGTGATCGGTCGAATGGCAAAGGAAGCTAAAGAAATCCGCATAAGTATGAATTAATAAATCCCTTATTGCAAGAGACGCTGTGTTTTGTGACAATGTTTATTTCTACTAATATACAAAGAGCCCGATCAACGGACAAACTGGTGTACTAACACATTCATAACTGCTAAAACCGTGAAATCAACACATAGCATTCTATTTCACGGATTTTCTGCAAAGAATTCTAAGACTTGTATTTACGCTAATTATATAGCACCATTCAGAAGATCATTAGTAAGGTATTTAATGAATAATAAGGATTATAATAAACCCGTCTAGAAAACCATTTTGGTATTATAATTGAATTTATATTGCACGGGTTTGCAATCTTACATTAGATGAGTTCTATACCGAGTCGCACATCTACCGGACCCTAATGTATGCTAATATATGTTAATGACGACTGATGGAGTACTAAAGAACTAATGTATGTTAATGTATGCTTATGTTTGCTAATGTATGATAATTGTGACTGTGTATGCTAAGACGGATAGACACTTTAGTCAACCAGATGATTTCTATTTCGTATGAAAATATTTTTACATGTAATATGTCATATATGTACAGACTGTAAGACGGACTCGGTCCATTGTATACAATATTAGATTATAAACTTGTAATCATTGGTGAATCAATTATTTATCATAAATTAGAATACTAATGTACACGACATCTCCTCCATATACTCAACCACGACGTTTCGCACAAATATGTGGAAAAGGACTGGGATACAACTGTAAAGGAGAGAGTCTGATAACTAATAGATTGCGGAGTCATTTGTACGATGACGTCATATGCTACAATTACTWTGTAAAGTAATCCCGCAGAGCATTCTGGTAAATGTAGTAAAACAGGACATCATCGTGCTGACTTATATATATTTTAGTTATAATGCCACCTATATGATGACGTCATTTAAAAAGTAGATTTCCTTATTTTACGTCTATATTTGGTAAGAAAGATATCACATGATATTGTACTACATCGGTGTTATTGGTTGTTAACCTCCGTCCCCTCCCCCCTCAATTAATTACCAAACGATGACAAGAAAGACAAGAAATCCTCTTCCCGCTAATCTCGTCACGTGACTTCTCTGTGTTAATGTGTATATTGGAATACAGTGTCTGTTATTGCACATTTGCAATATGAGTACAAACTATATGTACAATGTATCGAAAATATAATACATATCGTTCGAAGGCATCACGGCCCACTGTCAGGTATGGACGGTCGCATACAACGTTCCCTCGATGACTTTAATKTACTAGTTTGTTTGTTGAACAAGTAGTCGCATTCACCCTCCTTTACCATATATGGATGATCCTGTACACAGACAGTTTTGTTCATGATGGAATACTGAGTYGTCATGGTGACTAAACCCACGTGACCATATGGCAGGTCATAGACCTTGTTTCATGAGGTTCTCATGGCAACACCGAGTAAGTACAGTTATTTGGTATCCTGAAACAAGAAAACAAACATTGTTGACGGGACATGACAACAGCAGCGAAAATGTGATTAAAAAAGTTAAATGTTTTTCTATGTTGTAATTATTATCCTCGCGTAGAAGTATCTGGTGAGCACATACAATGCACTTTGCAAACTATTAACCTCGAARCGCTTGCTTTTTCCTAAATTATCATATATTATTTTATTTTTAATGAGGTGTCGCTGTTTCCAAATTTCTYATTTCTTTAGTTTTGAAYTTTTTAAGTTATGAATTTCCACATCAAAGGTTGCCCTTGAACGTTTCATCGGAATTGTTTGTCARTCAAAGCAAATAGTTTAAACTAACAACACACCGGATATCTCACCTATGATTTTCACTCGACTTCAGTAAGGGTTGGAACAGTAGGCCGCATGGATCGTCGTTTCTGCATAGCGTATGTAGTATTGCTAGTAATGCTATTTCTACCCACGTTCACATTACCATTACTTGGAGGGGAGGATTGTCCAAATAAATGGCTCTCTCTTCTGACTGGACGCCTTGGTCGTGACGCATTCACTTCGTCAGTCACTATTACGTTGCAGTTTTTTTCTTGACAACCGCTGTCAGCACTGCCTTTGGACTCGCCGCTCATGCCATTCTCCAGGAATGCTGGTACTTTGAGTGCGTTCGCAGCATTGACCAAGACGCGCCTGCGTTTCTTGGGCAGCTTTAACCGCGCTTGCGCATGCGAATAATACAAAGAGAAATTATTAACAATGACCGGAACCGGAAGTGCAATGGTTAGCACACCGCATACCGCGCATAGTCCTCCYACGATTTTTCCCGCCAAAGTCTTTGGCGCCATGTCACCATATCCCACAGTCGTCATGGTAACCACTGCCCACCAAAATGATGATGGAATATCAACAAATTTGGTACCTTCGGTGCCTTTTTCACAGTGGTATATTAAACTTGCAAAGAGTACTACTCCCATAAGAAGAATAAAGATTAGCAGAAGTAGTTCTCTAAAGCTTGCTCTCAGCGTATGGCCAAGAATCTGAAGTCCCGATGAATGCCGGGATAGCTTGAAAATCCTGAAAATTCTAATCAGCCTGATTATCATGAGAACATCTAAATTATTGTTGTTTGGATCGTGAAGAAATTTTATGCTGATGTAAAATGGGACAATCGCCAGAAAATCGATCCAATTCATGGCTTTCTTGAAAAAGTCACATTTTTTTGGACAAAAGATGAATCGCACCAAGAGTTCGAGTGTAAACCAACCAACGCAAATTCCTTCCAAAATAAACAATATAAGAGGTCGCATTTCACCTACTCTGAACCATTCCATCGATTCCAGGCAGAAAGTAACGATTGACAAGATGATAAGAAYTAGTGATGTATAGGCGATGACCTATTAAAACAACGAGAAAAACATTATATTGTATAACAATGTCTACAGACATATATTACAGTTAGATGGTACGTCAATGATCTTACAAAAAGAACGCGATACATGCATTATTGATTTTATCTTCCAGGCTATCTTGTCTAATATGTATTTATGTCCTACCATCTTTAAACATAAATCAGTGTACGGACTTTATGAAAGACGATTCGATTGTTTATTACTGAAATACTACATAAAAGTGAAATTATCATTTATGATGTAAAAGAGATCAATCATTTTAAATGAATGCAAAATAGCCTAATATATTGAAGAGATATTATTCAGGACTATATAGAACGACCACAAGTCGCTTTTTTCCTTTCCTTACACTTCGACGCCATTTTCATAGAGTCTTCTTGGATCACCATACTTTTACCATACTTTTTGTTAGTCGTATTTATTGGTAGWCATAGAATGGTCCTTTCGAAGGTGCGGTTAACGATACGAGTACGAAACATTATATAACCAGTCTATACCGAATTAAATACATTATTAGGTATGCAATTATGGAAACATTTTCGTCTGTTGTTCGACAAGATATATTTTATTGCCTCTAAAGATCCTTTTAACCTACCACAAACAAAAAGTACAGAAGTAGTTTTTTGTTTGAATCAATATATCTTGTACTGAAAGAYTTTTTCATGATAGTGAGGACAATGCGATGCATTTTAAACACGTATCAATAGAGGAGTCGAAATATAACTTAGTGAATTGATTGTGGCTTAATAGATGGGATTTCACATGAATGAAAACACCTGAAAATCCTATTCATTTGAGGATTATAAACAGTATTTAAAGCAGTTCAGTACGGTGTTAATCTATACACCAGCAGTTCTCAAGGTTTTTGGCTTGTGTAAATTAGCGTTCAACTCTTGAATAATTTATACTTTAGAAGGCAAGCGTGAATAATAACAAGAAATCCTTTCTTCGAAAAAAATCGACAGAAAGAAATACAATGATTTCAATTTTCTTTCATTCAATCAAACGTGTTAAGAGTCATGATTTTTGCAGGCGGCCATATTGTAATACGATTTTAACGGAGTAAAATGAAATCCGTAAAAACGGCAATGTCGAGTTGTTTTCGTGCAAGGCTCTATTTCTTATCAGACATGTAATAAAGGTAGTTCCGTGTATGGYTTTTGACATTTGTAAAAATCTCTTGGATATTCGTTMATATAATCGGCSAAATGAAGCRTTTTTTTYTAACGGGAAGTTCTCGCTATCATTTCGCACTAAATGGCAGGGATTTTACAAAGACAAAGACACCCAGTTTATAGCAACACATTAAACATTAAAACTTCTAGACAATATCAAGATTTATCGGCAGATTGACCTGCCGCAGAATACTCAACATGGTTCGGATGTGGATAAAATAATATCAATATCTTGACGCCGTCTCTAACTTCACTCTACAGTTCTSTTATTTTGACCTCTAAAGCATCGAAAGCCATACGAGGAATTCCGTGCTTCAAACTGTTAAACGGTTTGCGAGGGTTTAAAAGTCAAAGTGATCTCAGACACTCGTGAATTAAATTCGKACTTTAMGTTTTCGCCGTTATTTTTTATTCACTTTTAAATATAAGTCATTTCCAGTCGTAGTTTCGTCGGTGCATTTATGCGCCGACACGAAATGAACAAGTAATGATGTTGTGGTTGGATGTTTAACGGCATGATAAACTTCTCTTGTTAATACGCTTACCTTTGCTAGTGTGCTTGAATGCGGCTCTTCCATCAAAGTCCAAATTTTAGGTTGATATTTTTCGAACCAGCTTTTGTCGGGTTCATTTTCAGCCGACAAATGGAAACCAAATCGTTCCATGTCGGGTTCTTCATCGTCATCGAATTCGTTCTCAAACTCGACGCCTTCAAAGGCAGCGAGAGTAACCTGTGCATCTCTGTGTTGTCGGTAAGTCAACCAGCAGCATGACTCGACCTGCTGGTCATCGATTCCCCAAAATCCCAACTCGTCCTCAAACAACGGTCCACACACATCAAGCGGACAGTGTAATTTCCCTGTTCGATAGTAGTTTAAAACATTCGCAAATACRCCGGGATGACGATCGAAAAAGTAYTCTCCTGTCGTGGAGTCATAGTCTGCCGATCCAGTTGGAGCGTCGGAAAGCCAAGATAGTCGAGTATCGGGTATGTTTTTAAGAGTACTTCGATATGTTTCGTGCTTTACACCCCCTACATTGATGCTGACTCTATCTCGATATACTGGTGATGTCGGTTCGTTATGAGACGGTGACTGCTGTTCGTGATCGCTGCCGTTACCTGAATCATCTTGTTGTTGTTCTTCCTCTTTTTCTTCATCGTCTTCATCTTCGCCGTCCTCTTCCCGTATTACATTGCTCGACTTGTTTTCGCTACTCATCATCAGCATTTTCCAGCGAACTTTTCGCTCATAAGAAGTCGTTTTGCAGGTTTTCAGTCGATTTATTTTATTAACACAACTTTGGATAGAGTTGATTTAGTAAGTAGACGCACAGCGCCTTCAGTACAATCTCCTTGAACACAGTCGAAACAAGAAACGCAAGATGGCAGGCAGGTGAGAAGGAATCAACAACAGCAAAATCCCATTGCGTCTAASAAACAGTAAAAAATTGTCTTGGATTCTTCGCACTACTGACAACACCCCACCGCCGACACACTACCACGTACAGTAACTCAAAGAAATTCGCTTTGGTAACGAGAAATCTTGGCTATTTTTTTGTTTGATGCCGAGAGTTTGTCATCTAAGACATCGAGAGGTTTGCCAATTAACATACAAAAAAAGAACAAGTTCAATTCGGTCCTCTGGCAATAGGGTCCTTTCTAGGTAGAGCCCTGTCAATCAAACTATTGTTCCATTACATAACTGAGCATGCTCACTTGGCAGCCAGCTGCTCTTGACGGCAGGTGTAAAAGAAGAAATTATCCCCAAACACGTCTCTTGTTCCATTCAAACATGAATACATTAAAAACTAGACACATGACGTACATAGCTTGTTGATTTACAGTCAATCTCCACGTTATGATTGGTTCAATCAAATACACAAGGATACAACTTCATATAGAAGCCACTTTACTGTTTTCTGTACGTACAATGGTAGGTAATGCTCGACTAGAGAGAAAGTCATCAAGACGTTCTCGATGGTCATTTAAACACTCCAATACAATCCATTATTCATTCGTTTTGTCTTAAACTGAAGAAAGGGCGGGAAGCCGCTCGGTTAAATGTACGCAGAATGGACTTCAAATCAGGAATAATTTATACTCGCGATTTTGTCGGTTTTCATTAGTGAGATGACAGTGGTTTTTCAATAACTGTGAGTAGAACAGCCTCCTAAAACACTACTTTAACCCCATTTCTCTGAATTTTGCCGACACAAATGTATGTAATATCCCAATATTATTTTCGTTCTGTTTGGTTTAAGCAGTATTGTACTTTATTCTATAGTCTAACTAGTATAACCCACAAGATATTACCAAATAAGGTTGCTAGGCAACCACCTTGCAAGGTGTTCAATCGATACTAAGGATATAGTACCTTATGACTGGGGCCCTAGCAAAAACGTTCTTTTGACAACAAAAACMAGGGTTTCACCAGTTAGGAAGGCAACGTTTGATTTTTTTATTTATTTTTTATTTATTTATTTGTCGCATTCTTGTTTATAATTATCTTTCTATTCTTGTTCTTTGTATTGTTTTAAACGAATTTTTGGCGATACATGGTTCTATTAACGCGAATCAGGCGAATTATCCAGTATTGTCTTTATCAACAAATTTAATGACTTAAAGATCAGTATTTAACAAACGATATCAACACCACGCTTGATTTAAGATCAATCCCAGGCCCCTGGTGAGAGTACGTGATTTCACATCAGATAACAAACAAACACTGCATTAAATTTTATTGACCTATTTTCCACACTTTGAACCAATAAATTTGAAGATTTCACCTGTTGTCTGGGTAACAGTTTTACATGTAATGACGTCAAGTGCTGTGACTGGGTTTCAGTTCTACGCTGCTTTTCTACGAAGAGAGAGAATGGTTGCGAGGATTTTAAAACTAAAAAACTAATTAACATACTTTTAGATAAAACTGCGAAGAACGCTTCTGCAAAAAGATTAAAACACTGATAACAGACAAGCTTCTGAAMGTCTCTGAATCAATTTCAATTGTGCACTAAAACCGCCCGATATTGTCCGGCGATTGTATCGCGAATTATTGGTTTATTAAACACACTGACAGGAAATTGGCAGACGATGATAGCCATAATAAAAGTCATGGATTCAAAGCAGATCACGAGATGAAAGGATGGAAATCACTGTAGTTTTAAAAACACGATAATATCTGTGATGATTATTGTTATGAGGAAAACACTGATCACGCATGATTGTTATAGCGCATGAGCTATTTTTCTAGGATCCTTTTCTATAAGACAAAGCTGTTCACTATTTCTGCAGCCTCTAATTATGAGAGTACCTATTCATTTATAACTAAATTAACAATGAGTTGGTTTTTCTGTGGTWAAATTAACTCGACCCTAATCTCATTTCGAACTGGTCGAGCTCCATAGGTTTTTTCATTAGGTCCCAGGCTCCATATCCACTATCCTTCATGTGTGTGTAGAGCAGTTTCTTGGCTTTATTGTAGTCTTGTGCCAAGTCCTTCGCTTTCCGATAGTTGGAGGCGTTTACAAATGCCTGGTGACTAGAGTCAGTGCTTTTGGACAGAACCTGTTTCAGAGATAAAAACAGGTTTGACCTGTAATGAAAATACATAARTCCGGTTAACGAAATGCAAATCAGCACGACTTAACGCCATATATTAACAGATATAGCGAAATACAAACAGACCCTCAAAACACTAATATAAACACTATTTTACGCCAATTCATTTTTTCGTTTCCTCCATATCACTCTATTAATTAGCTTTATTTACACTATCTCCATAGTGACACTGACGTCATACGACTAATAAGTTCACGTACTTTGATAGTCTTGAAGGTGGTTTCGAAGCAGATGGATTCCTTCCCAGACAAGCATCAAACACCTCGGCTTGTTCCTCGTCACCAGCTCCCCAGTTTAGACAAACGGTCTTTGACTTGTGCTTTGTTTCCACTTTACGAGCCGAGTCATGTGACGAAATGCGACCACAGTGGATTTTGGGATGGTTCACGTGATACAACGGTGGGAGAAGATTGCCGAATTTATTGTCTTCCGCGCGTTCTACCCGTGCGCAGACGGCACGAGTCAGGTGACCAGCATCGAACAAATCACCAACAACCAATGAGCTCAAATACACTGGTTCTATGAAGTTGCTTAGCAAAGCACCTTGGAGACCTGGATTTAACGTTAAGTTGAAGTTACTTAGTTTAAATTACTAAGTAATGTTTAAATGGCATGATATGATATCCAGAATAGCATATCATGTTTTTACCATGTTTTTTTTTTTTGCATGATTTACAACATGTACGACCATGCATGTACTTTATGCCCTTAGCAATTTAAAATTAGGCAAATATGATAAATGTAAAAAAAATGTAAAGTTGTGCTCACCCACGACATTCCATTTTGCAATCTTATCGCTGCAAGATGCAGTTCTCAGTCTCTGTCCGCGCCTGATACCATCAATGGTTTGTATGCCATCATTGTTGTCCAACGGAATTGTGCCTTCACCTTTCTCAACTTTGGTCCTCAACAATCCTTGCAGTTTGTTRTCAAATGTTGGCTCAGCAACTCCACTGATCTTACCACTGMAAAACAMCAATAAAACATAGCATTGATTGTCAAATGACACATAACTATGACTGACATGATTGACACTAACCTTGTATTTCCATTCACAAAGATTGCAGCATCACCACATGGTGCTGTACTGACRTAAAGGTGGAATGTAACGCCATCTCGTAGTTTGACCTTRGCTCCTTTACCCTTCTCAAAGATACTATCCTTGCCTGTCTTGTTGACAAAATCGTCCAACTGACTCTGGAAAAACCGCAGCAATCCTCTACGTGCGATAACTTCAGCATGGGAATCCAAGACAATAGTTCCATCTAGACGCAGCTGATCACCACTAATACACCTGATGACATTATCAATTATTAAATATTGTAAATAATATTATTAACACAGCAACTMTCCAAGGTATATAATAACTACGACTTACTTGTTTCCAGTCCCCAGGCTAACAACTTCACAAACATCAGTTCCAGTCTGTTTCATGATAAAAGTAGCTAAAACTTTGTACCCAGCAAACCTCCATGAGTCTGGTGCACTTTTACTGATCTTTGAAAGACAGTTCCAACTTAAAGCAGCAATTTCATCCCCCTCAGTGGTCCCCACTGGAGTGTACTTGGAGCCTGCAAAGCAAAAATACATTATTTAGTAAATATACCAATTAATTAGTTTGTAGTTGACTAATTATTGTGAACGGAATTTTATAGATTAATGCTTTGTTGAATTTACTTATTGTCAACATTGAGTAAGGACTCTTTGATTAGCAGTAACCGGTTCACACTGTTGTAGTATTCCTGTCATACCCTGGGTACCCAAGGCTGGATTACATTCTTATAGTTTACGCGCCGTCTTTGAGACCGTAATGTCAAGTTACGGTTAATAAACCCATAAGAAAAAAGAAAACCAGCCTCTGGTACCCAGGGTATCCCTGACCCTATCTATATTTTGTATATAGCATTTTAGTTCTTGTACTTGTATTGTGTAATTTTGGTCAATGTTAATAATATACTGAAGAAACATGCTTATCCTCATGTAATTATTGATATAAATTAAATAGACAGAGAATGGGTAAGTTATAACTTTCAATTATACTACTTTCTCCACAGTTTAAAATCTTCTCTACCTCCTCACTCACAGGTGTAGTTAGRAACAACAACAATGAACAAACCTTCATTTTTTTTCATCAATTCTTCTAAAGCAAGTTTTGCTGCTTCTTCACGGGCAGCTTTCTTAGTTTTTCCACTACCAACACCAAACTGGTCACCATTCACTTCATAGGCTGCACAGTGCGTTGATGATGAAGAACGGTCAGTAGGAAAGACATCAACACACTCTGGTGGTCCAATGTGGTAGGCTTGACAGAATTCATAGAGTTCACTAACTTTACTCTTAGTTCCAGGGTTTTTCACTGGATTTGGCATTACACCATCTGTTTCAGTGTCTTCMACGTTGCTTACTATTGTTCCTGGAAAAAACATTATAAGATAATGGGGTGAAATATTGCATTATTGCAGTAATGGGCTTCATTTGCATAGCGCTGTKTGATGTCAATTAAAGTTGTTCATTGAAAAAGTTTTTAGGGACTGGCATTGCAGTCTCAATTTTACAAATAATATATTATTGTTTGGAGTGTGCCAAGCTTTTTTTACATTTCGCACAGTGATGCAGTGATTTCAATRATTTTTTTAGTGTTCAACACTGATAGGTCAAACTGACTTCTCCATAATAATATTGTATCACAATGAGCTAGCATTGATGGTAGTACCTGCTTCAAACTCAATACCAAGAAGTTCTTTCAACGCAATCTTGGCTGCTTCTTGTTTGGCAAACTTCTTGCTACGTCCATATCCACAGTCAAATATATGCTCACTGGCTATCACTCTGAATGAATAGACACGACCATGATCTGGACCAGTATATCCAAGGTCTTCAAAGTCAATCTTTTAACAAAAACAATAGCAGTATAAACAGACAAAAAAAAATATTGTATTGTATACTTTCATGTCAGTGRCAGGTTTTGAATACTGCATTAAATGGGAATTATTAGATGAAGGTTAGACTGTTGTTGTTGAACATACAAGTATACCTTTAGTTTCTTTCTTTGTCCATATTCATTGAGTTGACTGACAGGATGCGATTCGACGGAKGTACTTTTGCCTTCATTGGATGATTTCTCTGCTGCATACAAATACAAATCAATAAGTCTAATAATACGTGGACAATTTGTTAAATCAATCAAAACATTAATTGAACTTACGCATCTGAATTGACATTCCATAGAGAGTATTCAGAGCATTTAAAGCAGCAGCTTTCTTTGCTTTCGATTTTGAAGCACCAGTGCCTTTGTCAAAAGTGCGATCCTCTACAATGACCTGATAGGCAAACTGTCTGCCATGATCTGGACCATCTTGCTTAAGTTCCTCAAAAACAACCTGGAATGCACATTACAAATTAAACAGCCATTAAATGCTCATGGCAAAGTTGAATKTGCAATAGGAACCAGTGGGTACAGCTTATCATATTATAAGAGTGTGCTTAATGATAATAACTGAATTTCAACCCCTTATAGGAATACAAGAAGAAGAGAATGTTGCATATCAAATAAATAAAATGATCTTGCTTTACAAACAGGTATGTACATGCTTAAGACRTATATATATTAATGTACAGTAACAATAAATGGTGATATTATTCATGAATGTATACTGAGAAGGGTAATGAAATACATAATTGTACCTTCTGTTGGCTGCGTTGACAAAACTCATTAAGCAGCATAACTGGGTCTTTGTTAAGAACAACTCCATCAGTGTTATCAGATAATGAGGAATCCAACTCAGGAGAAGGTTCTACAGTGGACCCTTTACCAGTATCATATAAACCTRGACAATACATTGTACTTGTCAACTTACAGCAACATCTATACCATACAATAYTATGGGTAACTATTCAGAAAATGTTCACCTTTTTATAAGCATTGCATCCAAGACTATGATAATCAGTTTGGAAAACAATTTTCTCTTGACAATGAATGCAAACACTACAATTTGTTTTGACTGCATTTCTGTCATGGTTCATTATTATAGTGATTTCCCTTACCTTCTTTTGGTTCCCAATTAATCAGCTCTTTTAAACCAACAATTGCTGCAASTTTTCTGGCCATCTTTTTGGCACTGCTTCTGCATGGTCCAAACTTTTGTGAACCAACAATRACATACGACTCAAACAATCCAGGATATGAACATGGAGTATCTTCAAACTTCACCTAAARAAAATTAATTATTCTTTGATGTTTTCGGTAGCTGTTGGTTATGTAAATGCGTTAGAGTTACCTGTAAGCTCATCTTTTGTCCATATTCATTTATAAGCATGACAGGGTCCTTGTCAGGAGGGGCTGAAAGCTGATTGTTCTTTGGTCGTTTTGGACGATTGAAATGTCGTTTGATTCCTGAATGATRTTTGTAGGGAAGGTGTCCTAGCAAAGATCCCGAGGGTTGCCCAGTTGGGCTTAAGCTTGGGTAAGTACCATATGAACCAGGTTCTGATTGAAAAAGAAAAAAAGTGTAAATGGAAAACTTTGAAAAAGATAAAGATCAATTTTTCTAAAACATTTTTTTAGACTATTTTCCCTTTACTTGATACAACATGGTATTTCACGATTAGATCAGTAGCCAATCAGAATGCTTGATCCGTACGTTATTGGGTAACACTTATGAAAGGCACTTTTGCCTGTGTTGTTTAATGGTACATGTATGTTCTTTTAATGTACTAAAAATTTCTTTAGTTAGGCTAGCATCTAAACAAAACACCATGACTTATTAGAAATTCAATTTCAACAATCGACTTGATAAAAACACAATGTTTTTTCTAAACAATATAACAAATTAATAAAACATGAGTTCAAACTGTATAAGGGGCAGTAAAAACTTGCTATCTTGACCTCGCCACGTTGTTAAAACAAAATACACAAAAACAAGCATTTCAACATGTCTGATTTAAATCTATTAATTTCACCAATACATCTTGTAACGCCGCCTGCTTTTTCATACTTTCACTTTTCTTATCAACAGCTGTGTTGGCCCCACTGACCTGACATTCAACAATATTGTAGTATTTTATCACTTTTTGAAGTCAAAACTTCCACTACAATGGGAAATAGAATGAACTTTGCTGTTGCGTTAGAAACAAAGGTTTCTTTAGACCACAACAACGGGAGTCAAAAAAAAAAACTAATCAAGAACGAATCAAACTCATTTTATTATTGTACTGTGTCACAAACATGGCGGCTGTTTTGTCTCGGATAGCTGTGTCAGTTTTCTAGTATTTTCGACACATCTCGGGCAACAGCAAATTATTTATAGCATAATTTAAACATGGTATGTTTCATATGACAAATAAAAAATTTAAAATGATTTAAAACTTTTCACGTAGTTTACAACGTGCGGCTGCATACGCGTGAAATGTCTATCGCTATCCTACCTTGAGTCAACGCTCTCAGTGCAAGATCAGCAGCGAATTCCTTGGCGTCTTTCTTGGTCGATGCTGTAGCAGTATCAAAGCGGCTTTCTCCTATCAATACGCGAGCAGAGTACTGTGGATTATGTGGTGGTCCGGTGGGGTCCATGATTTGGTATTCCACCCCAAGACCATTCACATCACCGTACTCTTTTATCGCCGCTCTCGCGTTTTTATTCACGAGATTGCCAAACATTTCCCGTTCAAGGTTCAGAGAATTGACTGTGCAAAGTCGTGATCAAAAACTCCACTGATTTTCCACTAAGAAGCGGGCAAAAGAAGGCTCAGTCGTCTATAGTTCTAGCACATGGATCGAAGCTTTGATCTGATTCGGACCCAGTCCTTTTCAAATGTCATGAGCCAGATGTTGGATTAATSTCATTAGTCCGGAAGTAAGGCAGCCAACGAGAAATAAGAAAATATAATGCATACAAACCGAGTGTAATTATCATTATGAAGCCCTTTTCCATTTGCTTGTATAAATTTACAAGATAAGGTGAAAATKCTATTACTCCATGGGTTGCAGCATGTACGAGAAGATTGTCTGAGTAGAATATTTACAACCATTTCATACAGTTTGTATAAGCACTAGGGGTATTCGACWAAGAGTAGGGGACAAGTCTCTGCATCAGCAATATAGCAGCACACTACTGGTTATTAATCAATGTCATTACAATGAATAAATTCACCATGTAAATAAAAATAATTTATTCTCTAATTGCCAATGTTTTGTAATTCACACTATATACATGTATTGTGAAAACCTGGCACTTTTTATATAGCTTTTTGTAATTATTATAATTTGATTTTGATTTTTCTATTTCAATTTTTCTTATTATTTTCACCACACCAAATACCACATCAGTAAATCAAACAAGTCCTACAGTGGACTGGTAAATACAATGTTGTTAAGGTGGTTAGTTGGAAGAAATGCATCTGTTTCTATGACAACATATTATCCAAAATAATAATTGCACCAAAACAACCACCAGAAATAAATTATATTCTTGGATACTCTGTTTTTCTAACACTTGATTACAAGCAATACACCATAKCAGCCATCACCATAGATACAACTATCAAAGTTTGCTTTCATCATAAATATCACTATGACTACTGATATGCTGGTCCAAGAATTTTGGCATRAAACATAGCTGTTCAACCATCGCTACMAATGTGCWGGTCATGGTAACCACGGCTACCGATAAGCAGGGCGAGGTTCAGTGAACAGTCTTGGCCGAGGAAGTTCACCAAATAACTCTTCAGTGTTATACTGAACACTGCGTGCCAGAGCCTTCATTGACTCACCAATCTTACTTGGCTCTGGGATTTCCATCTGTAAATGTGATATTCTCAATGTAAGTACACAAATCTCACTGATATTCACTGATGGWTACAAGAATCAAACAAATAGGATTGTGGGATAGATTTGGTAAATTTATACTTCATTTCAAGCACTGATGACTTTTATTYTAATTACCTTRTCATCGTCCTCATCTTCCCATGAATGTGCAGTTCTGGCTCCCATTGGCAGACTTATAGGAACAGAAGATGAATACACAGATTTCTTTAGAGCAGAAACCTGACGAGGAACTGCAGTTTCTTCCATTTGAAAACTGTTATCTACAATATAAACTCATTGTTAACAATATTATAGGTAATCAAATAAACATCAATAGACCTTTAAAGACAAAAACACTTTTAATATTATACAACTATCGTAAGGTTAGCCTGTTGCATTCTACGCTAACAATACAACCACAAATTATCAGTACAATCATGCAGATTATTCCAAGATCTAAAACACTGATACTATCAAAATTTAAAATGCTGCCACAAGATCAGTTATGCCTGATACTTACCGCTACTGCTGAGCTCATCTTCTTCAGATTCAAAAAATGGTTCACAGTCATCATTGAATCCATCCAAGGCAAACATAGGATCAGCATCTGTAGCAGAAGATGGTGAAGTCCGTACATTAATCTTACGTGCTTGTAYTGTTTTCTTCTGAGTTACAGGAGACTTGTTCGGTGATTGACCATTGAATTTGAAAGGTGGTCGATTGATTTCCTTGTGAATAAGTGATATATTGTGAGTTGGCTTCTGAACAGCCTTCAAGTCCAAATTGTTTGAAAACATGTCTGTTGTTTCATCCATTGCTTCATGTAATGAGCTTGCCATTAAACTTGCATCAACATCAGAAAGCACTCTACAAATACAACATTGAATATCACTAAAACTGTATCAGCAAAACAAACTTTACACTGTGGACTTTAAAACCAATGCATTCTCTATAGTCAAATAATACTAGTTCTYAAAATATAATTCAGTACTTAAAAACAGGACATCTCGTGAGATAATTTGTAGTATAAGTATGAAAGAGAACTTGTTACCTGCAGATTGTCGTCTTGTCCTGAAAGGCTCTTGCTTTCAATTCACCAAATAGTTTTTTCTGTTCGGCCGTATATTCCCGTATCCTTTTTTCCATTGCTAATTCCTCAACAGTTAAATATTTCTTAATTAAATCTTGTATACTATTCATGGAGTGAACCAGCTGATCTCTGTTAGCTAAGACTGCATGTCCTAAAAATACACATCAATATATCAAACTAGAGTAAGATTGAGTGAGTATTCAGGGTCAGGGTGTATTTTGTGTCAAATCAGAGCATATAATAGGATGTGTGGGTGCAGAACCTCATATTGGGGTAAATTCCAAATTTTCTGCATCCTGAGCATATTTTAACTGAGTAATAATGCCTTTCTGTATAAAAGTTATATCTAAATATAGTTGTTGATGTAATTTGGGGCTTCCTGTGTACTAGACATATCAACATAGACACTGGACTAGGTATCCCTATAGATGTGCTGTCTAATGCCAAACAAAACATCTTGYTTGCAAGTTTGTTCAAAACATTTGGACTTTATATTCAGAAGAGAAGCAGAGGAGAGACTAGCAATGGCAATTAGTACAAGAACAAATCAATACTTTCAGTTGTGAGATTTCCTGTACAGTTTCTATAGGAAGTGTCTATTTCAGGTGGACAACATTTTTCAAAATGTGAAATCAATGASYGTACAATTCAAGTGTCTTTCCAAAGGTTCAAACAATATTGTTTTTGGATCACATTGATAATAGCAATAATGCAAATACTRGATAACAACAAACCTCCATCTTTTTCTTGTTCTTGTCTGGCTGTCCTCAGGATGATTTTAAAGGCAGGAGAGAAGTCACTAGACAAAGCAAGCTCTTTAATTTTATCTGCATTGCTCTGTGAATTCAATATAAACCACATGATTTGAACCACTTATTTACTACCTATTGTATAGTAAGACAATGCTGGCACACGTGAACCACAGGAAATACTGCCAAAAGATAGAGTGATTCATATAACAAACCTTAAGTCCCTATTTAATACATGATTAAAACAAGTACAATAACAGTTCTTTGTTGTAATATTAACTATAGAGATCAGATATCTTCCAAGCCACATAAAATATGTCACATGATATCATATATTAACTATTATATTCACACATCAAGGATTGCTTCAGACATCGAACTTCACGTCCGTAGCTCACAAGTTCATACTCAAAATATTCCACAAATGTCAAATGAKTTAGGCCGCAAAGTCCTTGTGAACTACGGTGCAAGTAATTAATATATTTACCTCTAACTTTTTGTTAACAAGGACTCTGTCAAATCCCTTTACTGAGTGCAAGGAATAAACTTCTGTGTTACAGTTGACACATTTATATATATCCCAATCCTCTGCATGCGAAGTATGAACAAGGGTTGGGACTTCCTATAAAGAATGATGRAAACAGTTTATACAACTTGTCATACAGAAAATAAGCTTTCTTGTCTATTTATATAAAATGCATGATTAACTGCATAACACAAATCTTTATGAATATACAAAGTATAACTGAACCATTGATGCTTGAATTAGTAAAAGAAAGAATTTTTTTTCCAATTAGTAATTAAGCTTACTAGTACAGGAAAATTTAACATTTCTACTTTCAGCTGATATAATATTCAAGATGTCCGCCTGCAAATCTCAGGCAAGCTAAATTAGTTTATTTATGAATTCTCAGGTCCAACTTTTGCAATAGAAAACATTAAACATGAATGATCTTGAGCACGTATCAAACTTAGGTTTTCTGCCATCTTTCAAAGCATTCAAAGCCCAAAACAATTAAATGATTCACGCTCGACTTCTGTCTGCTGTAAAATGTCTGATGCAATAACCGATGTTATACTGACAAAAAATGTCTATACTGTAAAAAAATCCTTTCTCGTGAACAGGCAAACTGACAAACAATGGAATAAAGCCAAATATAAGCCTGAAATAGCACAATAAACAAAACAAAACTGATGTAAGAAATGTGACTTCAAGATCACAGCGAAATCGCGCGCAAAAAGATAAGCTTATAACTTAACAAATTTGTCGAAATTTACTCGTAGCAAATGCCAGCGAATAGAAAATCGAAAAACACTTTTATAAACCTGAAAGCTCTCTGAAAGCAACGAATTTTGAAAAGAAACCGTAATCTTACCTTAATAATCCCACCAACTGCAAGCTTTATCTCTAGAACGTTGTCTGCAAAGAATGACGATGTKGTCGCTTTGGAGAGAAACGTTTTCCCTTCTGCTTCCCTTTCGCCACCTTTCTGGGCATGGATTGTGATATTCAAGCACGGACAACGTAGCTTATACATTGTTTGAAACTCAAGTCAAGCGAAAATACATTAAATAGCACTAAACAAGCGCAAAATAAGCGAAATTCTAAAGGATTTGGTAGCAGATGATTGTKTTTTGTTGAAATATCTCATGACAAGTCTCGTGACTGTGGAAATAATGTCACATTTATCAGCAACCAATCAGCATTCAAACCTAAATATATCTACCAATCATAGGAGATGTTGAGACAAGCCACCCAATCAAAGTCGAGCCCTTTCCCGGGAGGTCACGCGCTTCCACTAAAAAATTTTAACGCAGTCCGATACCTTGAAAAATGATAATATTAAAAAAAAAACACTAAAATGACACTAAAATGCTATAAAAATTTATTAATTGAAGAAATGAAGAAGTAATGGAAGTTGAAAAAAGAGGGAAAAAAACGATCAAATAATGAGAACAGAAAAAATGCCCCTCTGATTCAGTCTAGCGTAATCAGATTGTCTTGTGATCTGYGCACTACCGTACTATATATTACAGGGCGCCCTCTTGTGATTTAATTTTCGTACTTTATATACATCCGGGTACGTCCAGTGGGGTGACCCATGGCACGATCTTGAATCACTTCCGGTCACCTAATAATCACACGGTTTCTGAGAACTAGTCAAAGTCGATTGTAGATCATTTTCAAGAATTACAAAAAGATTTTCTAAATGTTTTACTCCAATTAATTTCAGTAGAATACCAATTATCTGTCGGTGCTATGCACCCCGGGACGCGTTCGATACTTCGGCAAGTTTGTGTCGGAACAGRCTCGGTAAAATTTCGGAAAACATTCGTATCTCTGTTGTTGCTCATTGAAAAAGCTGGAGAGAGATCTAAATCGAGTATGAATGTTATAAAGTCCATGTTAGATAGGTAAAACTAAGGCTTCTTACAGGTATATKGCTGATTAGATTTTAATCTTTGTATGAAAGGCAAGTTTTAACGGTTAAACTTTATTGTTATTGTGACATCAGCTGAATGTATAGACAAATTAATTGTAGAATCAATGAAAACTCAACTTTAATAATTCTTTCTTTTTGAAATTTTTTATATTTCGTATTGAACAAATGCTAAATCYTTGGAAATTTTCAAGCTATGAAATTATACATAGACGAACTTTCAGTTTGGATATCTGAATATAAATTGATTTCCTTTGTATTAACATTTTGTCTTATGTATTGAAGGGTTATTTGTCAGTAATGGATGAAGCTTTGATGCAGGTCAATTTATGTCCATCAAGCAACATAGGAAAGGCATCCTGTTCAGTAATCCTGAATGAAAATGGAAGAGCAAAGACAGAGAATCAGGCTGTTGTAAACATTGACCATACCATTGCAACTATATGTCCGGTTAATGGTCTGACAACTTTAATAACAGAGCCAGCTCATACACAACTTGAAGTGGTACATGAYGAGCAGCCATCACTGCCATCAGATGGCAGCTTTGATGTTGAAAACAAGCAGAACAGACGAAGACATAAACTCTGGTTGCAGGAAAACATGACAAAGGCTATTAATGCTGTCAGAAATGGTATGCATGTTAGAGCAGCTGCTAAACAGTTTTCCGTGCCAAGAACAACACTAAAATATAAACTTTGCAGTATGAATACCAATCATTCTTACGCTCTGAAAACAGATTGTTTAGAGAAACCAGATATAATTAATACCTCTATTTCTCCTTCATCTCCAACTGTGGTCATTAATAGTAATCCCACTTTAACTGCACACAGTTATCAAGATATCATTAAAATACCTTTTATTGATAAATGCCTGACATTGCAAGATGATGGAGAACTTTTAAAGACACTTAGTTCAATAAAACTAAGAAAGAGAAAATGCAAAATGTGGTCAGAAGAGACGATGAAACAAGCTGTTGAGGCAGTTATTAAAGGTTCAAAAATCAAAGATGCTTCAACTTTATATGGTGTTCCTCACTCAACCCTTGGGAACAGAGTTTTAGYGGCTAGACGTAAATTGGAGCCAGTTATTAAAAATAAAGGCCGTGGTTCTACACATAATTCTCAATCGKMGGTTAATATTGATAAGCTTTATCCACCAATCTTACCAGCACCACCCATGCACAAGGATATACCTAATATSAATCWGTCTGCTAGCCAATCAACTAGCAGCATTCTGACCAATGAAGGCCAGAGACAGGACACTTCCAAACATATGTCAAAGCCAAGAGGAAAGATAAAGCAGTGGACAGAAGAGTCAATGATGAAGGCATTGGAAGCCTTAGATAACGATGGGCTGTCAGTCCATGCTGCTGCTCGAAAATACAATGTTCCCAAGTCAACTTTGGATGCAAAAAGAAGAAAGAGAGACTTCTTTCATTCAAGCTTTGTTGGGCCACAAATGATTGGCAGTTTACAGGATGAGTATCCCTTAGTATGTTACGTCAATGTATGTGCAATGTTTGGCATTACAAACATTAAGAATGTAGTGCTTTTACTTGCTGCTGAGAGTGCAGAGAGGCAAGGGTTGTGGAATATCAAGSAACAAGGTCTTCCCCCAGACTCRTGGTGGGATGGATTTTGTTTAAGACGCAGCAATCATATCAAGAATGTGGACATAACTGCTGAACAACCAGTCAGATTAACCAAAGCAAGGATGAGTCTTTTCTTTGACAAACTGTCAGCAGTGATCAACAGCAGTCAATAYCACAAGTTGCCATTGTCTTGTCTTGATCAGAGAACATTTACAGTCCAGGAGAAGAAGTTTGAGTTAGAAATAGTGAATAGTTGGGTGAAAGCTGCAACAAACAGCACCTTGTCTGAACCTGGGTCATTCATTGAAAGCAATAGAGTTTCTACAGTCTGCTGCATTAATGCATYTGGATCTAGTCTACCTGCAATGTTTGTAGTTCATGTAGAGAGTGAAATATCAGATCAATTGGCCTGTSATGATGAACACTGCTTTGTTTGGAATGTCAATGACAAATCAAGGGACAGTGACTTTTACTTCAAGTGGTTCAATGATGTGTTTTTGAGATATGCACCACAAATCCGTCCTCTGATTCTACTCCTTGATCCTGATACCTCATTTGTTACACCAGAATTCATTTCTTTAGCAAAYAAGAATCAAGTTATTCTATTGTGCTTGCCGCCATTGTCAGCACATTTCACACAACCACTCAACATCACAGTKTACCCTGCATTGCAACAAGGATTTAAGACAACATCCGTCCAGAACTCCTTTTCCCATGGTGTCCACTGCTGCAACTTTCCACAATGCTTCAAATCAGCTTGGAATTCGTCAGTGAATGAGAGAGCCATAAAGACTGGGTTTGAAAAGACRGGGATATATCCTCTTAATCGCAAAGTCTTTGATCACTTATTCCTACCTGCAGTATAGTTTGAGGAACATACAAAGAACAYCACTTTCAACACCCTGCATTCTTCAGAGTATTTACAATTTTAACATATTTAAGGATGAAACAGTGTTGATCAATTGGTTGTAACTATATATCTACCATTTTATTTTTTTTGAATTATGCTGTTTTAGATTCTGTGGTATAATTTTACGAATTGAAAAATAAAAAAAATCAATCAGCAAATCAAATATATTTTGATCTTACTGTCGTACTAGTAGTCTGCCCATAGCCTGCCCTAGTCTCCTCTCGCAGCCGTTAGGAGGAGACTAAGCCTGCCCCAGGTAAAAATAGTTTTCAAGCTTTATTCTTGCATGTGAAGTCTACAAACTTTAAAATACATGAAACATTTAGTGGAAGCTGCAAAACATTTATTGAAATTTTGTAGGTGATCATGAAAAACAAGTATAGGTAGATTGCGTGTGACATGTATCGTAATATATGGGATTCCTGTGTCGCACATTTCATCCGATCGCATTCCCGATCGCATGGTTTRTTGTTTGGCGGCTTTTTCCAGTCAGATTTTCCAGTACTTTGCAGTTCAAAACTACTTCTTTTTATGTTATTTTTACATCATGTCCTTCAGTCACAGTGGATACTCGTTTGAATACCCCAAGGTAGGTAAGTTTTGACGAATCACAGGGCTGGATGCAACATGGCGGCTGTGTTTAATATTCTTGGGTTGCTTTGAATCGATCACCATTTCATATATTGAAGGATTATATGTACAGCTAAGAACAAATCAATGTATGCCATGTTTGATGAATGTAAATTAAGCACTATTAAGAAATRCTGTATGAATACATTCAAAATGGCATTGCTCATAAAGATCTTATTTACTGCGAAAGCGACGAGTGCTCTTTTAAACATTAGATRTGTTATGAAGTTACCTTTTTTCAAAACACATATTGTTTAAAAAATAGGGGAAATATACAAATAAATCGCAATTTTGTGTAATTGTGTTATTTTGTTTCGGGATCCCTTGTTTCGGGATCCCCTGTGATTCACTTTAGTGAATTTCAATATGTAAACAGGATCACCCAAGAAACGTTATTCCAGACTTGTGTCGTCAGTTTTACCATTTGGGCTGGGTTACTGGTACTGGTGGTGGTGTAACAGTGCGACATGGGTAAATATAAACTAATTAGATAATAATAATGACAATAGAAATAAAAATAATGTTTGTTTCCAGGGATGAGATTTATATTGCACCTTCAGGTGTTCAGAAGGAAAGAATTCAGGTAACACAATATTATAAGTACTTGTCTTGTATTACTGYATGGTGATTTCATTTCTTTTTGTAGCCTGAGGATTTATTTGTCTGTGACGTTACAGGAACTGACATATCTTCACCACCACCAGCGTATGTTATTTACTTTTTTCGCTTTAATAGTTCAATTAATGCATTATGTGTCAWTTACTATTTTTATTTTTCCAGAAAAAAGTTAAAGAAAAGTCAATGCACACCTCTATTTATGAGCGCTTACACAATGAGAGGTACTTTTCATTACCGATTATTAGATTAGTAATATTTTCCAATAAATTAATATTATCTCTAGGTGCTGGTGCTGTTATTCATACTCATTCAAAGCATGCTGTCATGGTAACACTGCTWTTTGACCATGAGTTCCATATAACCCACCAAGAAATGATCAAAGGAATTAGAAAATGCCAATCAAAGGTTTCMTACAAGTAAGAAAATGCAAAAGAATAATATTGGCATATGGGCAATGTTGCTCAAAACTTGTAAGAAAAAGCACAGGTAGCCCATGTCACTAACAGTAATATCTTCCAATAGGCAGAATATGACAATATATAGATAATGACTGGAAAACCAGTTGTAGGCACACATCCTTGAGAGCTGAGGGCTAACCTCCCAAGGATGGTGCCCATGGAAGGTCTTTTTAAGAATCTAGGATTATCTCATTATTTAAGGTTCTATGAGGATCTTGTTGTGCCAATAATAGAAAATACTCCAGAAGAGCAAGATCTAACGGTACGTATTACCTTACTGATTCAGTCCATGGATGATATACTAATAATCTGTAATGATGATAATCTGATGATATACTAATAATCTGTCATCTATAACAGGAATCATTACAGGAGGCAATGCTTGCCTACCCAGAAACCACTGCAATTCTTGTACGGCGACATGGTRTCTATGTTTGGGGAGACACGTGGGAGAAAGCTAAGACAATGTAAGTTATCAKCAATCAACCCCATAAACCCTAGACAATGTAAGTTGCTTCGAAACGATCTTCAGAAGTGAATTTCGGAACACTGAAAGAAAATTACTCGGTTTCATAAGCGCGCCTGTAATATTTTTGAGAGCGCTTGCGCGCGTTCCATTCGATTAAAAATTTGTTGATTTGAATAAGGAAACTTGAAAGGTRAAATAACCACGGACACACTGGACCAAACTGATTAATCACGTGTTTGATGTCATAGGTGTGAATGTTACGACTATCTGTTTGATATCGCAGTACAGATGAAACAAATTGGCATGGATCCCGCGGCAAAACCAAGCAAGTGCCACGCTAAATGTTGTACGTAATACCGACGAAATGCACCGAGTATGGGRTTAACAACAACAAGAAAGGACTCTGGTAGTTGAACAGCTCATATCCTGTCCTTCACAAATACTTACAATGTGATTGACATTTTCTTATCAGATAGAACGATCATATGAAAATGTTTGTTTTTTAACAATAGAAGCTTGTCTTCTGTGATGATTAATTTTTTAATCTGTTATCGCTGTAGTATTTTGGCAGCAACAGGGAATYATTAAAAACATACTTGAAAAATGGTGTGGAAGTCGTTGACGGTTGTCTCCCTCTTGTTGACTTTACAGCCAACAAAGCAAATTGAACTTAAAATTAAGTCAAATCCTTCTARAAATGCTGTAAATATAACTCRCAGAAARGTGAAATACGTTTCCTTTTGRCTTATTTAAAACTGATTTACTTGGTTCCACAAGTTATCAAAAACACTTGTTAATTTGGACATTAATTTAATTTCCGCATTTCTATTTCTTTGATAGTTTCTAGGTAACGGGTCTAGCGATGCACTGCTATATCTCAKTGTTATTGTGTCTTAGTTTGTTAAACAAAATTGAAATTTTCGAACCGGTTTGATAGTGTTTGTATAGTATGTCACCAGGTGAAGGCCAGTATAATACTCRTAATCCTTACGTCCCTTGGACGACTGTTAGTTTGAATAGAAAATTACCTTAATTACCAGATGTATAGAACATATAGTTTTTTCTTTRGTTTCTGTTTCTAATGTTACACAATATTCCACAAGGGATTTCTCATTCTCATCCGCCTTGACAAATGCAATAAACGAGATAAAATTAAGCATTTTGTTAAGAATAGATGTAGATAACGCATTAAAAGCTATATATTAAGAATAGTGTAATGATTTATATGGGAGGAAAATACACTGCATCACTATCATGTTTCCACGGTAACATTGTTAAACGATGTCGTCCCGTTGCTRCCTCATTTCCATCTTCATTGCGCTGCCAAGCCATCTTTTGTGTTTGAGGTCTTGGTTGACTTGACGTTATCTCATTAGATGGACTTGTTGAAGACTTGCCGCGCGACATGCTAGGTAGAGAGAGTTGTGTTTTTGCTCTTCGTAGTTCATCTTCTCTTCGTTTGGTTGTCAAAACATCACTCAGTTTGCGTTTGAACTGTTTGCGAGTGTAACTGGAMTGYCCGAGGCGATGAGTCGCTTTGACCGCTTCYTGCTGTACGTCAAGTATACGTCGAAACTCATGCTCAAATTCRTCTTGCAGGAGCTTGAGTTTTTTCTCCAGTAATGAGTTTAGTGTGAAGTTCATYGCGCGAGCATACTTGACCGCATTAGCTACAACTTTKTGTGGACTGGTTGCTAAGATGCATTCTTCTCTTCTCATTCKCTCGTCCATAATTGCCAGACGGATTTCATGTTGAACCATTTCATCTTCTGCTGTTTCTAAAAGATGTTGTACGTACATGTTATTRATTAGTGTTGGTCTTAGTCCTGAACTAGGATTGTAGCTCATACAAACTGGATACGATTGAATGCCAATACGCCGTGTTGAAAATGCTCTGCTCATCTTGCAATATAACTGGAAATGAAGAGCTGCAACAGCTGCTGCCAGCTTGTACTGACTCAGTAGGTCAGTTTTSACTAATCTTTATGGCTAATCTGACACTTTACAGCCTGTTACCACCGGAGCTGATAATGGGCTAAATAGTAGCTTTATATACGGGGTATTATTGTCGGTATAATGAAACTWGGAAATGACTTTTCACGGTGTTGGTTTTTTTGTGGATTTGAAGGAATAATTATTTCTCATTTTCTAGCATCTCCATTCACAAGAATGAGTTCCCTGTATTTTCCGTCAAATTGGCAAAATTGACTATCCTAGTTGCAGTAGTTGTGAAGGTGACGAAGGACTGCAGCAGTTTCTATTGAAGTGACAGTCATTTATTTTGTGGTATAGCGAATGTAAATGCAGCTGCTTTGTCTCATGCTATGTCCACTAACCGTCGTGCACTAATTCGCAGACAGTTTCAGCTTTTCGTAAGAATACATAACSGATGAACATTGGAATATATGAAGAAAGATTTCGATTTTTTTACTTATCTCGTAAAGGATTATTTCAMCCATAAATTATCGAATTAATTAACTTGTTTTTTAATTAAATTTTGTGAGATTGATACATTAACAAGYCTTCACATTGGACAATGCGGTTTATTTCATACTGCTATAGCTAGTATTTATAACGGGAAAATTTCCTACGCAAGGTTATAGTGAAACATCATCATCATCAATCCTATAAGCCAGAGTGTTATCAGTGTAAGGCGCGCTAATAGTGAAATAAACAAACCCTTTTTGTTTATTATTTTGCTTACTATTTGTTGTTATTGTTGSTATGGTAAAGTCACATAAAATATCATCGTCTTTGAACAGACAAGCACAATTTTAGTGCAAAAGCCGTGAGATGTCATGGCTGTCTGCAGTGCGTACTCTTATGTTCATTACTGCATGTGAACAACCAATTACTCGTGTCCACAATATAKTGAAGTTCGTCAAGGCCTATGTCCAGTCACTACGCCGCTATAAGCATGAGTATACACGCAAAGCATACATGTCTTTTTTTTTATCTCAATAAAACTGTGCTGTTGTCACAGAAGGTGTGGCCATATCAGACTTTTTATGGCTCTTTTGTGATACATCAAATTCAATTATTTGGTCGTTTGGTCATGAAATTGGTTCGTCGTTAAAGRAATGATTGACATCTGTCAGTTGACTAATGGTTAACCAATGACATGGGTGCACACGTTGATTTACACTCAYCCTTCACGGTACCATCATCGCTTCAGTGGACAGTGAAATTCCAGCCGTGACGTCACTCATCTGTACGTGTATTGATGGCTGATGGTATTCTTTTGTTTGAACAGCGAATTTCACGGCAAAAACTAAAAATAATATTGCATGAATAAAAGCCGGAAACCAAACGTCTAAAGTTTATCGAAAAAGAGTTAATGTCAAACAATATAGGTTTGTTTCAGTGAAGCAGCCTTTTCTGACTTTAAATGTAACCTTTGTAAAAGTTGACCTGAACCRAAAAGATGGGTCATAATGTATCAGACATTTTCAAACATGAAAGCACAATCCAAGCACATTGTTCAGTGGAGAGCATTTAGTACTGATTTCTATCCATCACATAAAAAGCCAAAAATTACGAGGATGGATTTTATTCTGATTATGTCTCTGAATACGAATCAGTTACAAGATAGAAATCTATTAAAAGGTCTACGTGTTTCTATATCATATCGAGATATTATGGTTAATTGTCACAGCCAGCAGAGCGTTGATGCATTAACAGCATTCTTGTTTTACCAGTTTGTACCAGTAACACGGTCCATTGACTTGACCATCAGGTTCACAGATCGACTTATGGCCGTTTGAAAGACGYTTTTCATCAACTCCATTACATTTGTGTTCTCTACCGTATAAACTCCTTGATTTGACAGACAAAAATAAATGATTTTGTACTAGAAATAGAGCTGAGCCCAGGATTATAGTGGTCAGCTGTATGAACTGCATGAAATTGTTAACATAACTTGGCGATACTAAAACTATTTATATCACATMCAACTGGCTAGAGTTGTAGTTGTATGTATTTATGTAGTCAAAGCTGTTAGAGCTTTGTTGTTTATTGTAAACACYATAAGAATGTTGATTGTGTTGTAGTTGATCTTTGGTCCTTGCTCAGTAACAACGTACTCTCTGAATTGATGAAAGAAAAAAACCTTTTCATAATAACTGAAAATGTTTGATCAACAAATGAAAAGCACAATCTGCTGTTTGGTAAAAAAAATAATTATAAACTCATTATATTTACGAGTGAAGGTCGTGTTTTGAAATGTTATATTTAGGGGGGAAAATGGCGGCGCCGCCCAACATATAAAGTTGAAACCATGTATATAAATGGTTTTCATTTCAAATAAACTTAAAAGCCAAAAAAGACTGGAAATATGGTAAAGTAGCCATGTAGTATATAAGTAGAAGTTATTGAGAATTTTGATAAAGATAAGTTAATTTCACATTTAGCAGAAACTCATGAATTATTCATGAACCACAAGCTGACGTTTTGTGACCTGTTGATCTTTCCATATTTGGGAAATGCAGTTGGCGCGATTCACAGCAACAATCAATAGACGATACCAAAGTTGACTGTTGGTTGCCATCACTGGATTATGGTCGAAAAACTGGGTTTTATATACTAATAAGCATTTTTTGGATCATGAGGGGCCATGTTGTGTAGAATTATTGGATTGTGTCAACTTTTCCTGGGTTAAAAGAGGAGTGCAAGATTATTATTTTGGTTAAGGTAAAGTACTGCTATCATCATATGTTATATTGTTATTATACGAAGTGGTAGCTACTATAGATCTAACAAATTTTCATAAAAGTTTCAGTTTTATGTGGTTTGAATARAAGACAGAGTTTCGTATGATTTTATATCTAAATTTAACGTTGTAAAATAAAAATGCAAATAGCGGCGTTCAAGAGGGTAGGCCATTGTCACTTTTGACTGGATATTATTCTTAAAATCTTAGTCATATTACCATTAATTGGGCAATACTTTGTAAATGTTACTAACTTCTCACACAAATAGGACATTTCATGAACAAAAATGTCGTAATTTTGGATAATTTTATGGCAATTCAAAAAAAGGACAAAGGGTAGTTATAAATTAATAAACACCAGCTCTTCTCGTCCAAACCTGTACTGAACAAAAGAAATGTTTACGAGGTCTGCAGGTAATCACATTCGACTTGACCGGTACAACTTCATCAAATTCCGGCAAAACAACTTCAGTTCCTAAAAATTTTCCTTAGACTTTAAGTTGATACGTAATTATCTTTATGGTGAACAAACGAAGAGCAAGAAATTGTAACCAATTGAAAAGTTTTGTAACTTTTTCGGGAGAGCCAAAGCGTTACAATTTTAGCGAAAAGAAATATCTGTTGACGTTTAACAAAAATGACTGTTGTAGAATGTTAAGTACTTAAATTTAGTAATATGTCGGAAAAGGTTGAAGAAATTAAAACGGTGTAATAGACGCAAAAACTATAGTGAAAGGTATGATATAAGGCTAAAAAAATGTCATTGGAAGACATTGACAGAGGACACTCTGACCTTTAAATTTTATTGTCAAGYCAGTACTAAGAAATTACTTTCAATTGAGAGTGTTCACTGCATCTAAACTGCAATCTAATGTCCGTTTGCTATTAGTATTTTATATATCTTAGATACCTTAATCACTAGGGATTTATACGTGATCTTTTATAGCCAGTCCTTGATAATATGACTATGTCAATCCGTACTTATACGACTTATAAATCATTTTGTAACTTATCTACACAATACGGAGAGAAATATCAATTGTTTGCTTGCGAGTAAAGCAARGACCATACAAATATTTAGTGTTACAATACTCAGATTGAATCCAATTGTCAACGTGGATTATGTTTACTAAGTTAGAAATAGTTGCTGTATACGGACCCTAATCAGTTTTATTTCAAAGTCGTGTAACCCTCGTTATTGCCCCAAACTATCATTATTATACGAAATTATTAAAATATATATCTCATTAGCAATTTTGTTTTTCAGTTTATTTCAAGAAATGAAGAATAGCCCGCGGACAACGTCCCACATTCCGCGGGTCATTCTCSTGCTAGTGTTGTTGTTTAGCTCATCGCATGCTCAGAAGAGGCCCAAACCCAACAAACCCAATATCATTATGATCGTTGCTGACGATCTGGTAAGTACAGAGTGACCAGCATTTTTCATGAGTTCCACGATGTAATTAGAATACATCCAGAGATAAGGATCTAGTAGTATAAAGGCTGCTGGTTGTATGAAAGTACAAGGTGCATTCCAAAATGACCATTTAATTGAATAGAGAATGGAGACTTTTTATTCATATTGTAACGAGGTATCACTGTATCCATTTCAATCTGTCACATCAACAGACGTCACCATTCATGGAGATGCTTCAGAACTACYATAGTTAGAACGCATCTTGCATGACTTWTCTACATGGCGTTCATTTMTTTGCAGGGCTGGGATGATGTTAGTTTCCATGGTTCGCCTCAAATTCCCACGCCAGCCTTAGATGCACTTGCTAATAATGGAGTCATTCTTAATAACTATTACGTATCACCCATCGATACTCCAACCAGGGCATCCTTGATGACTGGCAAATACCCTATACATATGGGTAAGTATGCCTGTCGATGATAACACTTTTGAGGACAGACTTAYTAATGTACGTTTATGTTGACAGGTCTACAGCATGATACTATTCACAATAGACAGGCTATGGGGGTACCATTAAAGGAGAAATTCCTTTCTCAGTATTTACAAGAACAAGGYTACTCAACACATGCCATTGGAAAAGTAAAGTRGAATCGTCATTAAAACCAAAGTCAAAYTAAAAACTAACAATCGTTTTTGCATTCTTAGTGGCAACTGGGGTTCTTCTCGAGAGAGTACACACCCAATTACCGTGGCTTTGATTCGTTCTTTGGATTCTTTACGTCCAATCAGGATTACTATAAACACGTGGCCTATGACGGAGGCTACGGCCTCGATCTCAGGAGAAATATGGATGTGAGTGTTCAAATGTTTGTAGCACGCTGAAGAAATTATATAAAGATCTATAAATATTTGACATCAAGAATAAAAAAAAGCAAATGCATTTTTTTCTATAAATATCTTATACTAGCCCATGTATGTTTATGTCTCGTATTCCTTTKGTTAGGTCGTGTACAACGAAACTGGTGTTTACAGCACAGAATTGTTTGCTAAAGAAGCTGACAAAGTCCTGAATGAGCACGATAAAAGCAAACCACTGTTCTTGTACTTGGCTCAYCAAGCCGTTGGAGTTGGCAATATGGAGGATCCTCTTCAGGCACCTCCTCGCTTCCTGGAAAAGTTCAAATACATCAAAGACTCCAGACGACGAACGTTTGCAGGTACTGCTGTCCCTTATCTCATYATAATTAGTTGTTAWCATCATGACCACTAATGTAATCTGTATATCCACAGCTATGGTCGCCTCTTTAGACGAGTCGGTTCGTCAACTTGTCTACACACTAAAAAGAAAGCGTCTCTATGACAACACTATCATTATCTTCACAACYGACAATGGTGCAGCTGCTGGAGGACTTGATATGAGCGCTGGCTCAAACTTTCCTCTACGTGGTGTCAAGAATACTTTGTGGGAGGGAGGAGTCCGTGGTGTGTCATTCGTTCACAGTCCACTGATCAGACGAAAGGGTAAGCCACGTTGTGTATTTGTTATATTTTGCGTTATCATTAAAACTCAAAGATGTGCTTGTCTTTAGGGCGTGTGTATGATGGTCTCATGCATGTATCTGATTGGCTGCCTACAATCTATGGCCTTACAAATGGCAACGCAAAGAGTCTGGGTCCTATAGATGGTTATGATCAATGGGACACAATCAGCTATGGAGGTGAAAGCCCTCGTTACGAAGTGCTTCATGGGATAGATCCACTTCTCGGAAATCGCGCCTCGCTGAGAGTTGGYGACTACAAAATCATCATGAATCAAAGTTTAAATTTCTATGGGGACTGGTACAAGCGTCCTGAAGCCCCACATGAGCTGGAYTATATCAGAAAGCCTCGACTTGTTAGGAATGCAACGGTGGAATGTAATAACGAGTTGCCTCATCCTCTTCTTCACACGCATGCGCCGTTATGTATTCCCACTAAGAAACCTTGTCTGTTTAAYATCAAATGGGATCCCTGCGAATATCACAACTTAGCTGACTTTATGCCTAACACCCTGAAGGTAAAAACTGGCATGCAATTACTTAGAGTAGGGTAAAACAAATCATTAGCCTAAATAATGGTTATATTTGGTTTTRTTTATATTTTCTTTCGTATATTTATAGGTCATGCTAGACAGACTCAAGTTTTATCAGCGAACGTTACAAGATCCAATATATCCAGGAATGGACAGTAAAGCRAACCCTGATAACACGGGTGGTGTGTGGATCCCATGGCGTGAAAGTCCATTAATGGATCCAACACAAAATGACTTCATCTATCCTTACAGTTACGAAGACCAGGCTACAAACTCATCCACTGGCCTACTACTCAACAAGAACTTACGTAAATTTATGCGAGACCAGTCCACTATCTACCAAAATGAGACAGGAGGACCTGGACAGGGTCCTATTCATAAGGCACAACCAGTTATCATCGTGCGACTGTCGCCTGACACCCCACCACCACCCCCACCGAAACCATACGTACCGCCACCAACTCCACCGCCTGCTACAGCACCTCCTCCGCCTCCTCCGCCACCACCACCACCACCACCTCCACCACCACCACCTCAAACTACACTTCCAACCACACCACCAACCACGCCTTACATACCACCTGTGACGCAAACTACACGATACATAGCACCTGTCACTCAAACCACAGCATACGTTCCTCCTGTTGCTTTCCAACAAACTACRGAAGCATACAAACCACCAACACCAGCCCCTCCTGCGGTTTATGGTGACACGACTCCTCCTCCTACCACTAAAGCTCCTGTCACGCAAGCCACCACGCCTTATATTCCACCTGTCACGCAAGCGCCTGCCACGCAGTCCACCACACCTTATGTTGCTCCAACACAGCCAACAGTACCATTTATCCCGCCATTGATAAACATAGCGACTGAACCAGATAACGTGACTATCAAGGTGAGCTTTGGTCATCCCAAGCAGCCGAACGTGGAAAAGAACCTACTTCAGCCACAGGTACCCCAACCAGTCAACCAAGAACAACGACCAAGCTTATGGGATCATATTAACTCATTCAAACCTGACAATTCAACAAATCAGATTTCAACCGGTAAAGTGGAGGAGATCTCTAATGTTAAAGTACCTCCAGTGACACTTCATAGAGTGAAACCGTTCAGGAACTACACCCATAAACCGACATTGCCTGGCGTACCTGAAGTATTAGATATCATTGATGAGACGATAGGCGGAAAAACCAAGGCTGCTGATCAAGGCAGTGGACAGCCAAGTATTCCACAGATATTTGATATTATTGATGAGATGCATAAGACAAAGACAAGTCATGACAAGAAACCTCAGCATGTTAAGCACAAAGGGCCAACAGCAACTAGCAAACCACTGTCCATCAGCGATGTGGGCTCAGGCATGGGGATTGGYCTCAATGGTCTACCGCAAGGTATCTCGGTATTTGGTTCAATGGGCGACAAGAAACTCAAACCTCATGAAACCAAAAGTCATGAAAACATTGTGGTYGTTCCTACTCCCAACCAGCATGCCATTCATACTTTCTTTGGTAACATCACCATTGAAGGTCGYACGTATTTCGTGGTRGGAAGTGAAAGTGACGAATTAGCACGAGTAAAGACTAAAGTTGATGGAGATCGGATAATGGTACATATGCCTAAAGTCGCTCCAGTRTCACCGACACCACAGGTAACCCAGAAATCGCATATCAGTGAAATGCAGGATACGATAATCATCAATGATGAAGAAGAAAAAAAGAAATCCATGACGAAATCTCTAGCTGCTCACAATATAACATCATATCCTTCTGGCGGTCAGAACGGAACCAAATGCGAGAAGGTTGTACAGCTTGACACTTCCGATAACGCTGTCGTCGTGTCGTCGGTTGTAATCGTCGTCATAGCGTCGGCAATGGTTGTTGGTGTAGCCGTCGTTGCTATGGTAGCAGTAGTCGCTAGGCATTGTCAAAATTCCAGGAATAACTAAGTTATAGAATGAAATAATTTTTTAGCTTGATGACGTTAAGATAACATACCAGGTTGRCATAGCAACAGTCTTAATTAATGCTTTTCATCATAACTGTCCAACCTTAAACGAAATAATAACAAATTGATATATTTTTGCATTTAAATTTAATTGATAGCTGAATACTTTTCAAATATATTATCGGGTAACTATAAACGCTGTTACTATGGTTACACAGTATAGTAACACTGTAACTATAGTAACTTGAAAAGATTCTTGGTTGTCAAGGGCCAAAAACAACTAGCAAACCTCTGTCCTTCCGGGACGTGGGCTCAATATATGCTGCTTTGATACTTCTGCAACGCTGCATATATGGAGAACAATTTTTCATTTATTTTTTTGTTATATCTTATCGCTTTTCCAAAATGATTYTGCTTTATCAGTCAATTCCAGATTATTATAATGATTTTTAGACGTAAATGCTGATGTACAAAGATAATTGTAATGAATCCAAAGAAATAAACTCTCGTTAAATCACATCATTTGCGTAGTTACTGCAATGAATCATGTACACAGAAACCCTTTAGATTCACACCAACAATAAACTGCGCCGATGATTCCCCACACAGACATGAGTCTTAACCCATACTCAGCCTGGCTGTAATGTATGATTAATGTTCGCACTGATTAAACGATCGCGTGACTTTATTTTTCAAACATGAAATACAAATACTAATAAATTAAAGATTTTCGTGTGTATTTTACTAACTAACAAAAGGAATTCCATTGCGACTATCAAATCAGTTCGTGCTAGCTACTTATCAGGAGCACACAATGGATAACACTAGAAACTAATCAGTTGACTTCCGCATAGATGAGGGTAGTCGTCAGGTACTTGCAATGAGCGCTCTATTCACTGTTTTTTCTATCCTGTTTCCAGGTACTAATAACTTGCTTTGGTGTGAGCCCAAGACGCATATTATTTATTTTCCGCTCCTAACCCGTTTGACTGGTATTTAACATGCTCTTACTATCTATACAATAAGAAGCTGAAAAAAGGAGACCACGGTGAGGTCGCCCAGGTCTCTTGCTGTTCCTAGTTATCAGTTTCGTTTATGATTGGTCGATGTTATCCAATGATCGTCTTTTCCGAAGAGGATCAAAGTAATCGACAACTTTTTTCTCGATAACCTCTCGGAATGGTTCGGGGGCACATTTCTCTTTCGGACAAATTTCGTGTAGCTTGTCTGGTTCAACAACGATTTTAAGAATGTCACGGACAAGATTTTCATCCTGAAAAAGATCGCTTCAGTTAGTAATCCATCAGAAATAATGACAATAATCCATGATAGGACAATGATCTATGATATGGTCGTCATTTCACTTACTTGTAATAATCGCCTGTTAGTCTCGTTGACGTACATTTTACCATCTTCCACGATGTATCGAACCAATTGCCGGTATTTTTCTAAAAGTAACTTAATCAGTTATTAATTGTTATTAAAATCAATTGATAATGAAATTAGAGCGACATTGTCATAGATTTAGTTTACGCTAACCTTCAAACGTGACGTAGAAGATCTTAAATCCACTCGCTATACCGTGATTATCACCGCGAGATTTAAACTTGATGTGAAGATTCTTTGATCGAGACACAAACGCAACAGGCTGATCAAATGACTCACACGCGTAGTACGTTGCAACTGAGTAAGGACTCTCTGCTTCTCTCATGACCAGGTAGTCTGAACAATCTATCGATGTTGGCAGTGAAATCTTTGGTAGTAGTACTAGGATGTTGCGGTCTTTACTGGGGTAGATGTTCCAGGTACACTGCACGTCACGTGGGTACGCATCGGGATAGTTGGGAGACGTAATGATACCTGACATAGTTGTAAGGTTCCCGCCACACCGAGTTTCTACAAAGATAATATAACCATTTGACAACAGCCTGAAATATTGTTGTTTGAAATAGAATTACATATACCAAATATATTACACCGTGGAGAGTTTCAAGGAAAACAATCTGTTATACGTGAAGGGAATGTTGCAGTGAGTTGATTTGGTGAAGAGATAACATCAAGATGATTCTTACCTTTGCACTGATGGATATCCCGCGCACCAGTAAGAAAAGTAGTTTTGTTTCCTGGACACCGAATGCARAACTGGATCTCTGAGAGGTGGTTTGGTTGGTATGTCCCATATGGACAGTTTACACATCGCTTAAGAAACGCTTCAAAGTATTGTCCAGGCATACAACCTACTGTGAACACAGAATCTCTGTTATATCGTCGTATGGATTTACATTACTTTCTAGAAATTTTATATTATAATGGGTACATTTCAAACACGTGCATTCTTACCGAGTCTTTTTTGCTTGTTTTTGTAAGGTTTGACTTGGTTACAGTCTCTCCCAACCCCACCTGGATGCATTTTTCCTGACTTGAATATTAATTTGTAGTGTTGACGTTTTATTTTGATATCGAATTTCTTGTCGAGTTCCATTCTGCCTATCGATATTTGCAGYCTTCTCTCAAGTTTACAACGCAAACAAGTAGAATTACAAACTTGTGGTGTTAAGACGACTCCTTTTCTTAATTCAAGCAAGAAGTAAGCGACGAGAACCTTCTTCTTAGATTTACACTTTAACGAGTACCCATGAACTTCACATGGCTGGAAGAAGATTTTACGTTTTACAAGAAGACGCTTTAGTTCTTTAAAAAAGGGCCCTGGATCACCTTGGGCCAGCGAACTGCACTTTTGCACACTAAATCGAAGTAACATTTGTTTGGTAATGACGCCATTATCCTTGGAGCTACCTGCAAATCCAATAAATAGATTTTTACTTTATAATGCCCTTATAAGTGAGATCATGATGAGTTAAACGATAATTTTGMAGCAAAAATAATGAAATAGTAAATTCAGAGCATTAGGTGTTCATACCTTTACAAGTCCTTCCATTCGGCTGTAAGGTGTAACCACGACGACAAGCGCAATAGTAGCTTCCTTGTGTATTATGGCACATTTGACTGCAGCCTCCATTACTGATAGCACACTCATCCACATCTATATAACAAATAGTTACCTATTATACCATATATATATTTATAAAGCGACARTAGCGTTGCCAGGATACATTGATTGTTCTTTCGTGTGACACAGTTCTACAAGAAAGACATATCCMGTCATGTTTTAATCGATAAAGCATGGTATGACGCTGCTTGTGTTATATRTAAGACWTTACCTCTGCAAGTTCTTCGACCATCTCCTACATATCCTGCCTTGCAGTGACACCTGTACGGCTTTTTTCGCCGTGGACGGCAGATGGCATCCTTATGGCACAAATGTTTGTTGTTGAGACATGGGTTTTTGCCTGATAATAAGAAATAYAATTATATTAGCAACAATTTAGAGTTTATAGATCCAGATAATCATTGCGAGTGTTTTTTTTTTTATATGATTGTATTTACTACCGCGTTTGGATAAATCCAACCAAATTATAACAGATTCTTCACGGCGTAGCGTAGGTAATTTTGTGGTTATCAGACCTGATCATTTGTTAGCCCAGACGGAAACCCATATGTTTCTAATGCCTTCACCTGATACAAAATACCTTTGAATACTATCTACGCATGCTCAAATGAAAAGTCAAATGTCAGCTTGCTTCTAGCTTAGAACAGTGACAGGGCGTGGTTCAGGGATATTATCAAATATTCTTTGCATCCTTTTCAGACATGACTTCTCCTTGATCCACTCTAGCAATGTTGTCCCGGTTTGGATTTTATTTATTTATTCGCCTGACCTCGACTTATAATGTGAATAATTCCACGCGTTCTTAATACGCAACACTTGCGACTGTTATCAGTCGATATGTTTCCTGATCGTGTTTATGTTTAGATAGCTTTCCACTCAGCGATGTTTGGAAAAATCTCCATCAGATTAGAAAAATATGCGAGACTTTGAGCTCGGGATAGAATTTCGTTTGCTTTGTCTCGGCTTGCTTTGTTCTGCCCAGCCCCCTACCCTGGCTCTGACCCATACGAATAATTCATCCATTTAACACAGTAAACTTTAGTGTTGGGTTTCACGTTCATCGCATTGCTTGAGTATTAAAGACTGTCCTACTGAGAACTGAAAACTACTGTAATGCCGACAGTCTTTTATTAAGCCATCAGTGATGTACTTTATGGCACAGTTCGTAATAGCCCTAYTTATATTCCTATAAAAATCATCTACAACCTTTTGAACTAAACGACAATTAAATCTACTGTATGTACCATATCTTTAGGAAACATGGTCGTAATAGCTTTATAAAACATCAGTTAAGAGGCCGCTACGTATCAACGATTTTTTTCCCTGATCGTCTGTTAATGAACTCCTGAAGGTCTTTAAACGTTTATTACTTCTAGAGTCACGTGATAAAAAATGATATAAAGCAGTAAATGTCACTGTCGTATATAGTATGGCTAAGGTCACCATCCTTCGTCGCACGCTATCGAGCTATTCAAACACAATTTATTGTCTGTTTAATAATCTCAGTCCCGTGTTATGTCTGTTTATTTCCTCTCCTGGACTTCCTTCCTATCCTGTTGTTATACCAATCATCAATTACTCTAGATATCTAGTGTCAATAGTTAATTTATAGTTTCACACCCTACAACATTCCTTGTGGTACAATCAAGTAGCTGTTAAGAGTCATTGGTGTGAAGTACGAGCGGCGCCATTCTTGGCGCCTGACTACTACTAATAGAGACTTGTAGTAGTGTTCTTCAAGGTTTATAGTCATACATACTGTTAACACACTGAACATATAATAGGCTTAACGTAAAGTAAACACTTCGACAGTAAAGCGATTAAATATCCTTACCTTCCTTTCGTTTGCTGAAAAARGACACTTTGACCTGGCACAATCCCGATCCGTTATGAAATGTTCCCAAAGGTACTCTATTGAAACCTGCGTAGATGTAGTATTCGCTAGGGCCAAACGTCGTCTTTTGTCCTGACAGTGCGAATAGATATGGACTGTTCTTGAGACTTTCTCTGTTGGGATGCAATCGATAACTGTCTATAAAACTATTCGTAGCGTATCTTTCAGCTCTCCATTCAACTGTTCTGTCACTAATGTTTACTGTTAGGTTAGATCCTTTAGCCACAGCGTTATCTTCAACGTCCACCAGAGTATGGCCGTCTTTACTGTTGTAGCTACGATAGCCTGGGAGAACATTACTGTAGATTCGTAGCTGATGATTGAACACCTGAACTGACGCACAGTTACTCGTGTATTGATGATTTCCTCCAAAACCATATGCAGCTGGTGAATCAGATACCAAGAATGACCACAGGTTAGGCTCTTTACCGTACTGCAGCTCAAACTTTGCTTTAGTATAAGGCCCACTGAAGTCTAAACGGATAAGGGCTTGTGATGAGCATTGTATTGTAGTAGATGGGTTAGGAGCTTGTAGTACTTTTATGTAGGGATGTCTACCAGTGACAATGCCATGGTTTAAATCGAGAACAAGACGTTCTGGCTTAGCGGCCAACACTGTCAACATAAAACAGCAAGCAATGACAAAACTAGTCAACGAGTTAAACATTTACGCTATAATAGTATACAGTATATATGTGGTGTCAGGGAATAGTTTAGTTGGTAATACACACGTGCGCGCTCATATGTCCGAGTAGGGGTTTTATTTTTATTTGTAATAATGGAATGTTGATATGATAAGATCATGAACTAAATATAATCAACACGTACAAACCTGAATAAACCAAGACACAGTGTAAAAWCGTGCTAGTCCACATTGCCAACTCTTATAAATATTTAAACGTTGTCCCTGTTTGCCGATCAAAGTTGTGCGCACGAGTAGCGATTGTTTGGTAGTGTAGCTTGCTTGATACACTCAGCTTTCTCTTGGTCTTGGTTTGCTCGCAGGGTGAACATAGTTGACCCGTTTTTAGCTGATAAATTGACGAGTGTACCAGACTTCTAGCGTCGTGAAATGTTCACCTCCAATTGACCAATCAACGTCTGCTAAGTCGATGATCGAGAGGTCAGGCTTAGTCCAATTAGTGGGCTATGATACTCTACGTACATACCTCCATTACCGCGTTACCTCGAAAAAAGATGAAAGTACGTGCTGCACTTCACCAGTTGCTAATTTCATCCTTGGCAAACTTTTCCCTCTTTTATCATACTAAACACTAAGAAAGCTATATGTTTTTTTACCAATCCTTGAGGGAGGAGGTTTTGACTGAGAGGGGGTAGAGTGGGGCAAAGGTTATCCCTARTAATATAACAGGAAAAACTACTTGAAAGGTTGATATTTAGACGAACCCCTTCCTTGTCCGTCAAACAACGTACATATTGRTATGATTTATAGCAAGATAGCCCATATTGTTTACCGATTGACGTCATGGCCGTGTATATACAAAAGATAAATTATTGTCAAACATTATTTCCAGGCTATCAGAAGTCATGTCCAGCACGTCTAAGCGCTGTAAGGAATTCAAAAGCTCCCTTCCTTTGTCAAGTTAAGTGTTGTACTCCCTCAAAGAAAATTATTACCAAGTCTGCTGAAACCCATACAAGGAACGAATTTTAATACAAAATGCCTCAAAAGGGGAATCTCATGAATGTTAGATCTAGAATCTGTTAGATTCTCATGCATGTTAGATCTAGAATCTGTTAGATTCTCATGCATGTTAGATCTAGAATCTGTTAGATTCTTATACATGTTAGACTTGACTTAGGCACTATCACGTGCCATGACGAAAATCTCATTTTGACACATCGCAGTGAGAAAAAAAAATATCGTGAAATGTGAAACGAGCCTTTTGTCTAAACTTGCCTAAAATGTGGAGTATTTGGCCTCGTTAACCGACGCTAATTGTGCGGCTCCATAAACGAGTGGTTTTAATACGATTACAGCTAGTAGGCTGCTGATTGATTGTACTCAGGACATGCGCACTAGAATCAGACGATTTCAGGGCCTTTTAGTGTAATCTAAAACAAAGTTTTTTTCTTATTGGCTGAATTGTACTAATCTGCAAAAGATAATACTTGAAATATACTGCTAACAAATTCCTTTTATTTTTTGCTGTATCGACGAGCAAGAAATAAGTTTTTCAGAACAGTTTTGTTAGCTTTAGAATGAGGCGCGGTCAAGAGTTGTTTTTATATCGCTGTTAAATGTTTATTACCAGCCAGTATTAATTCAATTCACAGAGCAGAACCAGTAGACCATAGCTATCATGTTATCCTCAGTGGGGCCATGTCTTAACCACATGTTTGTCTGAGGATTTCCTGCGGGTTCATCGTACCAACTGAGACGCTTTGTAATCACCGCGCATTCAAAGTAAAGATTTTCTTGATTTCGGTGATACCACTTGGGGCTAATAGTTCAATCATTCAGGCAAATTACATTGGAATTTGAATCGCGTCGCTATGCTGGCTGTCGATACAATTTTGCATTTTTGCATTTTTGAATGTAGCCAGTTGATTTTTAATAAGTGCGTCAATGAGATAGATTACCCTATGGTATAATCAATCTACACTGTGTATAATAATATGATATAAAAACTTGTTGATAGTAAAGCACTTATTACGCATTGTCCAGATACTGGACATTCTTTTATTTTATTTCACTTTAGTATTAGCGCCGAAATCAAGACAGTTTAAAAAACTACTGAACATCTTCAGTTTGCGTGTGAGGACGGACAATGTGTTTTCTATTACCATCGAGATAATTAGATTTAAAACACACAAACATGAGAGATTGCGGCGTTAAGGACCGACTAACATCAAGAGCTTGTAAATGTTCCGATAAGTGTTATTAAAATCCTGCTTGACCGTACTCCACACTACCAACTAAGCGATCATCAGGTCACCGGAAGCCTTACGACAACCCGATTAAGCAACCACTGGCTGATTCCTTAACTAGACGCTCTTTGAGCGCTTATTCAGACTGCATTATAGAAATATCACGTGATAAATGACGTCACAGTCCTGATAAATATGGGCACCCTTCTTGATTTCGAGGTTGTCTTTTAAAGTTTCAGTATAACTATATGAAATGAGTAGCGTTGTGCAAATGTTATTTCAAAATTTTTGTGATTAGATTTGCCAACCAAATGGCCATAAACCCAGGCGAATACAAATAGAACCTAACTGATTCCTTGAAAAATAACTCAGCAATAAGCACCCACTATAAAGTAGACTAATTACAGACAGCTTGGCTAATATGACCAGTATGGCTAATATGAGCACTAACCTTCCTGAAGTTGGACAGCAAATGACCACTTTTTCTATCTGTTAACAGACCTCTATTGTTCTGTCTGTGATATGGGTGATAAATCAAGTTATGAATGCAGCGATTAATATTCCTAATAAGATATGATTCATCACGCAAGTCTGCTAGTCTACTGGTTTTATGTACAGTTTTTGTAGACCTTACAAAAGTTTTAAATATGCAAAAGTTAAAATTTAAAACATTGTTAAAATAGATTGTTAAAATAGATTAATAAAATTACTGCTGAGAATTCCACTATAAATAAAGAATTAAATATAAAATATTATTATAATAATCAATGTTTGTTCTGGTGAAGTGTCAGTCATRAATAAGGCCAGCCTTATCTACAGACATTTGGACTTGGAAGAAAAACAGTAAAACAATAGTTTGATGGAACTGGGTTTCCAAAGAGCTGATATTATTGGGTGCTATTAAGTTTAACCAGTTTCTCCAGCTCAAACAAATGGTCGTCTTCTACACAGACTCCATGTTTATCCAAACCATGCATAAAAGAAGCAAGATTGAGTAAATATTCAGAATTCTTTCCGCTTGGTCCCTCAGCTGTTATAATCTGTTTTGCCATGTCCTTAACTGGTGCCGGGCCAAGAAAGAATGTATTATCAGGTGTTGCAATGTATAACATCACTTTAATGGATGGTTCAGGGTGATTAATAGTGTTCAGCATTGTATAACAAGCTTTATATCCATCTTTTTCTCTGATATCAAGGTACATTAATACATTTGGTATCTCGGCTGGCTCAACCTCATATGCCACACCCCATACTATGCCCTGGTAAACAAATGACTCAATTAGGGCAACTGTACATATAATCRCCATTGCAGACTTTGGAATGGAAATTATATTGCACTGCTACATTGTTCTGCATTTCATCCTACTTTAGAATGAAATCTCAAACACAATTTAAAAGGTCTCTTTAAAAGATATTTACTTCATTATTGAATTTGACTTATAATGCTCCCTCTCTCTTCTCACTTGCCTTGGCTGATATTTGTACACTGTTAGTTAGTTAGTTAGTTAGTTAGTTAGTTAGTTAGTTAGTTAGGCAGATGACTCTGAGATTTAACAATAGCACTCCAAACGTCCCTGTCTTCCATCATCGTAGCCAGCTCATGTGTGCTGATTGCCCCTGTGTTGCGCTTGAGGGTGTCTATATAAGTCGATTGAGGTCTTCCTCTGGACCTCGTTCCGTGAGTTGGTTCCCACACTGTGAGATTTGATTTCTCTTACAAAAATATGGGTCATGTTCAAGAAACGTTTTAACTTTACATACTACTTTACACTACTTTTTCTCAAATATATACAAAGTAAGTAAATACCAATGCTCCAACATGTTTAGGTATGAATGACAAGAATACATGCTATGCTAACTCCTTTTGTCTTAATGACTCAAGGATTTTTTAATAAAGTAAGATTRCTTGACATATAATAAGATATATAAATTAATATAATTAAACATATAATAATTATGATAGTTTTAGTTACCTGGCATTGATTAACTAAGTTCAAAATAACAATTTTATTAGTTACCTGKTCTTCTTCCACAAGCGTTGCCACTCGTCCCGGCTAAAATTATACATCATATATAGAATTAGCTTATCTTTAGTTGTACAAATACAGAGATGTGAAACTAACCTTGCCAGGGATTCCTCTGTGGTCACAGCTTCCTTGGTAAAAACGCCTCACGAAACCCTTGACGAAACCAACGACTTTTTGTCGATAAGGAAAATTAACTTTCCACACTAACGAACCGTAGCCAAATATCCATAAAGACGAGTCACTGTCTACAGATAATAAAGATCCTCCTGTCATGATGAAACACAAGCTAAAAACAACCTGCAAAATCCCTGCAACTATGAATCAAAACAACTCAGCAGCCATTACCGGTAGTATGACCGCTGGACATTAGTTAAAACGCATCGCCGTCATCACTGAGGGATCATGGGATTTTTCCGTTTCCCCTCACACTAGACATTTTTAAAGAGAATTTTCTGTTGACGCACCGGGAAGATACAAAAACAGGCAGTCGACTTCATGTCACTTAGGCCATTAAGAGATTTAGTAAACTTCCGAAATACACACTATCTTCAGTACAACGTTTTCTTAATCATCTGTATACGCTGCAAGGAACTGGAAGCATCACGTGGCGATCAACCATTATGTTGCCTATGAATATACACAACAGGCAGCGATTCCCAGGGGCCAAGGAACCTATTGTGATGGTTGATCATTCCTCCCGTGGGGCCTGACGCCGGGCGCCCTGTTTCACTGCCTACAGTAAACATATCCATCTGAAAGATTTGGAAAAGGGATTTTTATCCACGATGGAGCGGTATCCCTGTAATCAAAGACATACTTTCTGTATCTGTATCTCGAACGGTTTCTTCGATAAAATGTTTTTATTATCGAAACTATTTTGACGTCCATGTTTCAAAAATACTAAGTCATTGGCCTGATTAAAGTTTTGTAATAGAAGCGAAAGCTTGCTAAGTCTTCCTTGATTTCTTTATCAATTTTCATCTACTAGGGGATTATCATTGCTCCTCTTCAATTGTTAACATTCACTCAATTTTTATTCAATAATGTGTAAACTTTTATATCATCAAGAACAACGACAATGCCATACATGGGAACGTTGTCTTCCGTTGAATTCTAGCGGCAAAGATCTGCCTGGTTTGTAAACCACTTTTAAGAAGCAAGAGACTTGTGCCCTGGTGTTTATCCGAATACTAATAATGTCTGTCTGATATAAGAACTNATTATGCAAAGCCTGTATCGTTTGCTAATTCCCGAGCTGAGCTCTGATTGGCTCGCTGATCCCTAAGGATTTTGGTGACGTCATATATTAGCATAGAACTTCACCGAATAGACTACCCCCATTAGATATCAGATATCTATAAGTGTCTTCATAGTACGATGGTCTAAGAGGGTAGCTAAAGGTATGCTCTAGTGGGCGGCTACCCCCTCACTCCCTGGCCTTTTGGTTAAGACTAAGTTTTATGTTCACTCGGGATAGCGTGGAAGAGCCGAAATCTCTAACCGTAACGTAAGCCGATTCGACGCCTCAGCTTCATAGAATGTCTCGGGGGAATCGTCCCATCTTTTTAGTTTTTTTTTATTTTCATTATTTCTTATGTATTCAGGGGGGGTACATCTTCTCCTGAAGTGAAAGTTCTGAGTTCGAGTCCTGCTTCTGGATTTTCACTTTTTTTTCGCTTGTTTATTGTTTTTTTTTTCGTTTGTTTCTTGTTTTCTTTTCTGTTTTCTTGTTTTCTTTTCTTCTTTTCTTTGCTGCTGTTACTTGGTTTGTTTTTCTCTATAGATTTTCTCTTTTCAACTTAAATATATCAAGGACTCGCAAGGAACGCCTGCTACAAGTGGATGGTTACGGTTCGGTCACTCAACACGATGAGAGAGGCGAGAGGACACGTAAGCCTTTTCGTCACAAAAAAGTCGATATTTAGGTTCAGTAGTTTGTCAGTTTATGTGGTTAAATTTACGTTTTACTTTGTAGCTGTTCACTGATACAAACAAAACTTATGAAATTACAGATCTGATTACCACCAATGAAAACATTTTCTTTTTGGTCCCCCGCTAATATTCTTATTATTCGTGCGTGCTGGGAATAACGTTCATACACGAAAACTTTATCTATTTTTGTGGTTGTTTCAGAAAAGAAATGCCTTTTGTTATACTGCTTCCTCGCATCATGGCGCTGGTCCAGAGAATACTCATGCGTGTTTAATATTTTTAGAATTCAGGTCGATTCTTGATACAAGACAATGATGACATTATTGGGCTTGAGAATCGCCCAATCACACCCTAATTGACTGTAAAATAGCTCTAAAACAGCTCGTGCGTTAGGCTAAAGTAAACTAGTTTAAGAAAGTGATTTTGTCACTATTAAGGGTTTACCTGCAGTGGTACTAATTATGACATTTTCAATCGAAAAATATTCATCAAGAAAGCATTTATAAATCTGAAAGTAAGTTTAACCATTCTTTTTTTTATAGCTTCAGTATACAACAAGATTTCAACTTTCTTGAAAGAGAGTGTCATTTTGTTTGATGATGGAGAGGCGAAAGAGTACAGTATTTGCATATTTGAGTAAGTCATTAAACTTTAAAGCTTTTGGTCCTTATCTCTTTATATTTGTAGTATGGATAGAATCTCTTTTAACTGATAAAGTACAATTAAAGATAGACAGTTACAATTGTTTGTACTTGGTTTTATAAACTATCTATCATTTGCAATTTAATTCCAAAGTATACTCTGAGATACTTTAATGTGACTTTAAAAATTCTAAATTTAGGTAATTCACTAGTACGAGTGGATGATATTCACGTCACGTGATCACCTTGTTTGCTATCGAAACAAAGTTGAAAACAAAAAAATGCGGTTCGAACGAAGTAATTAGAATTGACAGTCCTGATCGATTGCGAACTGTACAAATATGTTAGGAAACGATAGKATGGAAATCTACTAGGAAATAAATTGAACGACTTCTCAATGTAAGTATGTTTATTATTGTAAGAATCTATTCAGGCTTTCTTCCACATGCTTCATTACTCCACAGGAGCTGTGAACACAATTGAAATGAAAAACAAATCTATCTAGTTTGTGGCGATAAGGTACGCAAAGTAGCCAGAGAATTTCTCACATGTAAACATATTTGCCAACTGTCCCCTCGTTACACCTGTTCGATGGCCACGACAACGTAGAACTTTATTTAATCTATCATTATTGCTATCAAACCAAATGATTTTTTTACAGAAATACATGAAATAGAAATACTTTACAAATGGTTAGTCAATAGTGGTTTTCTTATTATTCAATGATGATTTATTGAAGGATCGAGGAGTTGAACATACAAAGAAATGTTGACCGTTCATTCCTAAACAAAGAGACGTCCTTACCACAAGAAATAGACTCAGTGTTTACAGACCATCAAACAAGGTCTTTAAGATTAATCTCAATAGCAATCTTTACCATTACTGCCGCGATGGAAGCAGTGATTAAAAACAGGATCTGACGTGCTTAAAATGGAGATGGAGATGGAGGAAAAAGAACATGGATTGTCACATGAACCTGGAGACACAATGACCTGTGGACGTGATGCTGTGAACACGAACACTCACCGAATTCCTGTCTCAGCACCCTTGACCACAGTTACGTTTGGCCTATTCAACGTCGATGAGATAAATGAAGACAAAACGAATGAAAAACTTTGTGTTGACCACAAATTAAAAACCACCTCTATGAAATACGAGGAAGCAATACACGATAGGCAAGAATTTACGTCAAATAATAACAACAAATGTATTCCAAAGCCTACTCAAGATGCCACTTGTCAAGTCACGATTCAGTCAAACCCTTTACACGACACCTCAGCAACGAATAAGACAGAAACCGCTGTTTTTACTTTTGTCCGACCAAGTCCGCTACACCGCACCCGACGTTCAGTCTCGTTGTCACCAATAAGCAGAACAAGACGACTCGCTAGTTTGGCAAAAACTTTAAACCAGTCCATATCCGACGCATCACTCAAAGACCCTGCTTACAGAAACATCTGTAGGGCACCTATGATAAGCGCGCCCAGAACTTTCGAAGGTGCACGATTTTTGATATGTAAAACACAATGGAAGCAATCAGCAGTCGATTCCTTTGTCATTCCGAAAGAGTCACTGTGCTGCGATGAAGATTCTCTATTGTCCCCACCTGCCCATGAACGCCCTCGTGAAAAAATGAACACTTCCAAGCCTTTTGCCAAGCATTTGGCAAGACAGCAAGCATTCGAAGCACCTGACGACGATGTTTTAGGTTTTAAAAAACAGGAGTGCACGACGTTTGATGATGAAACACATGGTCTTGTTCAATCACAGAATAACGGTAGGTCCACAGCAGACTTTAAAACCGATGAACATCCTTCTTGGCAAACACTTGTACGACAACAAAAAGAGAAAGATGCAGACGGAAACAATGCAAACTCAATAACAATAGTGGACTCTGATAACAATCAAGTCAACCCTGACTTCTCGACATTAGAAAACATGCATAATATAATAAATCATACAGCAAGTCAAGATTCGTGCATAAATAATGACATGAAGACAACTAGGAAATACAACAGAGTAAAACTAGCATTAAACACAACTCATGCGGGAATCTTTGTCACTGGTGACTCTCAGGACGACCCTTCGTCTGATTCACCAGTAGAGCCGCAGAGTTTTGAGACATGTCCTAGCTGGGTAGACAGCCAGGAAGTAAGTTCCTTGTACCTGTCCCCACATTATCAGCCATCAACTTCAAGTAATGAAATTGAAAGCACTGTCACATTACAAAAKAGAAAAGGAAGGTCTATTTCACTCACTACGTCCAGGCAAAGGTCATATTCGTCACCTCACTCTAAAACGTCAGGGTGCTCCTTTCAAGAAGATTCAGGTTTTGAGGCATCCGGTCGTCATAGTAACGCTCTTCTATCGACAAGCTTTCGAAGTATGAGAAAAACTGATCAAGAAAAGTCCATTTACCCTTTTTCTTCGGACGAATACATTCCGTTCCCCTCCGATGAAATATCGATCAGTAGGGATACAAGAACTAGAAGAAGAAAAATTGCGGATTWTTCAGCGTACAAACGAGACAATTCAGATTTCCTTTCACCAAGACCTCGTGCGGAAAGTAACGAAAGTGGAAAAATGTCTTTGAGATTTTCCCATAATTCTTCCGGGGATTCAGGTCTTGATACAACAAAAAGTGCAACKTCWCTGACAGCACGATCAACAAGATCTCATCGCCGACTCTCTAGTCAGAGCAAACTGTCTTCCAAGTCATCCATTAAAAGTGACAATAGCCGGGGTAGCTTCTTGTCTTTCCTCTCTCCAAAATCAGTTTTCAGAAGGCACAGTAGCTCTAGCAAGAACAGTAACATATCCAGGCACTCATCACGGAAAAGACTCTCTGATTTCCCACAAGATGAAAATCTTTTGGTGTTAAATGTGAGTGGACAAAAATTCAAACTTCATGAATACTTTACATCAGTTTATCCCGAAACCTTATTAGGAAACTCAAAGAGAAACAATTATTTTGATAAGAAGAAAGAAGAGTTTTTCTTTGACCGCGATCCCGACATCTTTCGACATATCTGGAACTTTTACTACACCGGTAAGCTGCATTTTCCCAAGGATGAATGCGTGAATCTGTTTGTAGACGAAATCTCGTTTTTCGGAGTCTCAGAAGACTATTTCTGTTCATGCTGCTGGGAAGACGAATATGAGCCAGCCATTGAAAAACTGCAAAAGAAACGAGCCGAGGTTCAACGACAGGARCAAGAAATGCAAGCCAAGATGAAGACAATTCCACAAGACGCTTCCCTGAAGCAGAAGATCTGGTTGAGCACCAAGTACCCTGTGATTTCATTAAATGCAAGAGTCTTYTATTTCTTTAGTATTCTTGCAATTGTTATAAGTACTGCAGCAAACATAACTGAAACAATTCCTTGTTCAAACTCTCTTCACATCTGCAAGGAGAAGAACCAGGCTGTATATTTCTATATAGATGCTTGCTGTGTGGCATTTTTTACCTTAGAGTACTCGATACGACTTCTGACGGCGCCTAAAAGACTTGCYTTTATACGCCAATTCATGAGTATAGTGGATCTACTGGCCATTGTCCCTTTTTACTGTGATCTGCTCATACGAGTCATGTTCGGTGGAAGTGCTGGTTCTGGTATTGATTTCCTGGAAATATTAAGAATTCTACGCATTGTTCGTATTTTCAAATTGTTGAAACATTCTCATAGACTGCAAGCTCTTGTGCATACGTTTAAAAGCTCCACAAAGGAACTGGGTCTTATTGTAGTAATCTACATGGTGCTAGTGACTGTATTTTCTAGCATTATATATTATGCTGAAATGCAAGACAATCCTAAATATTCCAGTATTCCCGAATCAATGTGGTATGCTGTGATCACCACGACAACGACTGGGTGAGTGACATCAAGCGCTGTAAACTGTATACATGATTGTTGTCTTGAAATACTGCTTCTTCCATATTAGGTATGGTGATATAGTACCAGAAACCATTGCAGGCAAGTTAGTTGGATGTGCTTGTTGTCTGCTGGGTGTCTTGATAGTAGCCCTTCCAGTGCCAATACTCCAAGTTAAGGTATATTTTTCTGCCATAACACCATACTCCATTCTAGCTATTGAGTCTTATTTATCGGCGATTTAATTCATTTTCATAATTATACTCCAACGGAGCCGCAGCTAGTCATATGATCTGTAATAATCAACGATCATTTGTTACAGTGAATATCTTTGAGGAATCATCGCCATCGATGTTACAGACAAAGAACGCGGTATCGACGAMTAGTATGCTGACATTCCCTTTGGTGAAGGCAGTCGATTAAGATTAACAGCGACTGACACAGGCATTAAATTATCAACTTTATAAACTAGGTCTGGCGCTGTAAACGAGAGATTTGGTTGGTCCATGCACAGTCACTTGGTGTTCTCTTTGTCATAAAGATGCAACGTTGTAGCAAATAAATGAGTACATTTTAATGTTTAGTGGATCTCGTCAAAATCAAGGCCGAAGAAAATGACTAACATATTTCACGCTATCCGTTCTTTCTTTTTAGTTATTCTGTCATGACTGTAATGAGATCCTCCTTATATTTTATTTGTATATTAAGACTATTTAGCAAAACTCACTGTTATATTCAGTTAGGAAACCATTTCAAAAGTGAATGCTATAAATATAGATATATTACATATACGGCGTTTTGCAAAAAAATCTGTAAAATGAAAACTATCAATATATATGCATATATGTTAATACTAATTAATTGCTAGTTGTCAATACGTTAGTTAAAAACATTCAGCAATCCAATTGAACTCTGAATAACATATTTCGATTTATACTTTAAAGAGGGTTTTAGGCACTTTTACAGCGGAAACTTCCCGCAATGCACCCATATTATGGGTAGATATAAATTGTTAACTTTTACATAATTTTTGAAAAACGCTGTATAGTTGATACAGACTTTAAATAAACAATATAATCCAAGCCTATAATTACAATTAAGCCATATGTCATCTAGTGATATGTGTTCACATAATAGTTACACACTGATCGCAGCAATTATTCTTTAGAAAATGCTTCGTCGACTTCATCTAGTAAACCCATTTGGAGATTTGCCTACAATAGAACAGCAAACAAACAGGTTAACGCTTCAATAACGATATTCGCTTCATATGCTTTAAATTACCTTTTTCTGTATGATGGGCACAGGTAGTGCAATCATGAGTACCCCCACTATACAACCAACACTACCAACGATTTTACCAAACGATGTACTGGGAACACAGTCTCCATACCTAAAAGAGATAATCAATTCCATCGGCTGATTAATATTTACTAGTTTTTTTTTTTATTAGCAACTCGTTCAGTGACTATTTATAATACATGAGTGTTCGTCACATTTTTTCGTTTTTGTTCAGTTTTGTCCKCGGGGACATTACCAAGTCCGCTTATAATCCTCACTTTWGAGAAAGCGTCGATTAATCAACAAGCATAATGTATGATAGCACTAACCCTAACCCACATATCTTGCTGACAAGCACTTGCATAGATTGGTAGAGGCAATTTTATTCATTCTACTGAAATAGATCACTCGCGCATGCGCATTACTGTATAATTTTCTARCGTATGACATAACAGAATATATATCTGATGTATTTATCATTATCTCACCCTGTGGTTGTCATAGTAATCACTGAGTACCACATGGCTGCTGGGATGCTGTTAAAAAAGTCAGCCGCTGGACCGTCCTTCTCCACGTAATACAACAAACTTGAAATCAAAATGACGCCAAGAGATAAACTAAAGACAATGAAGCCGAGCTCTGATGCCGAGCGACGAATAGCAAACAAAAGGCTACGTAGCCTGCTACTATGGCGTGTGAACTTGAGAACGCGGAATACACGGAGCACTCGCAGTAGCACCAAAGCTCCAAGACTGTCAATACTAAGTTGAAATATATCTAGTATAATACCCAAATAGTAAGGAAGAATGGATATTAAATCTACCATACTCATAAAACACTTGACAAACTCCCATCGGTCAGGAGCTGATATGAATCTAGCCAGGTATTCAAACGTAAAGACACCAACGCAAATACTTTCCAGAATAAAAAATACGTTTTCTTTTGATGTCAGGTAGTCTCGTAGTTCATAACAGGCCTTGCTGTTAATGGCTGAGTCAATAGTTGTTCCAAAAGATGATTCGTTGAATGGTTTATTACATAATTTAGCGTGTTCTATGCTACAAATCAATTTATCTTCACAGGGTGGAGGTACAGTTTCTACCACGGTACAAGCAATACTCAATGCGATCATTAACCCTGATATATAGTACCACACTCCACCAAATACCGATTTCTCTGGGTTATCGAATATGTTCCATATTTTGACCAGTATGGTTTCCTTCGCCGGGTCCACTTCATCCCCGGAATCTTCCATATTAAAGACTTTATTTATGTTAATACTTTTAGGCTGACGGTAATCATCCCAGCAACAATTGTCCACTGCATTAATTGATATCCTGAAAAATGACAGTTCGTCGCGAAACTCGTCCGCACAGTAGTCTATGGAATAATGAAGTCTACCAATCCTGAAAGACAAAATATGTCACTCAATCTACTAGGTAGGCTACTCCATAGTCCTCCCCCTCACACGCAAGGCTCCCTCCTTCAATTCCCTTATGTCTAGCGAGATGAGAGATGACAGTTTTGAGAATATTACATCTACTCCCATCCCCCTCCCCCCCAAAGGGCTGTCTATATAACGCAGGAGAAACAAACTGTGACTTTAAATTAAATATGAACAAACAGAACGATGACATGCCCTCCAGAAATTGTTTTACCAGACAGACTGTATGATAATAGCAATGAAATAGTGTCTACATGTTTCAGTCATGAATATGTAAAGCCTTCTTTGGGTTTGTAGAGAACAGAGATGTCATTCGGCGATGACCACTTACTGCGATACATCAGAAATATAGTAAAGTTAATATCAGTAGTCCTAATTGATATATGAGTATTGCGCGGTATWAAAACCACTAAAACGGTTTCAAGTACCAGAAGAGAGGCTTTACTAAACACAAGTGTTTTGGTATATCCTATCCTATTTTCATTTCCAGATGGATATAGCTTCAACGGTATATTATAAAAACACAGGTCAGCGCAGTGATCAATATTTGATTCTATGCCTGGCTCGAAATTAATGACGCCCAAACCACTACAATTAAACTGCTGGGCTGGTATTGGGCATATGTAATCAGTAACCGCAAAAAAAAACTTGCAACGTAAGCTTCTGTGCGGAAAGTAATTAAAGCTAACTTTTGCGTAAGGCAAGTAATTTGCAGAATAACGTGTGAGCACGGACCATGTCTTGGAATACACACGTTTAGATCAAGAGATAATTTCGTTCGTGATAAAACAACCAAACTTATCTCATGAATTAGGAGAKTAGTACAGTCAATTCGTTCTTAAATATATTTTTACAAGCCATTTTGTCTCGCAACAACTAACCAAGAAACACAATAGCAATATTTTTATCAGATGAGATGAATGATCTTGCTTTGTTTTGAACTAACTGTGAGATAAATTGAGATGAATAGATGCGGTGGCCTAGCCATGTATCAGTGTATGTAGGGATACAGCCTGTGTTTAAGTTCAGTGAGGGATAAGAATACCTGTAATAGTTTAAGATGTGTCGAAACATTTGTGGATCGCGGTCGAATGTGTACATCTTTGTCTGTGGGTTAAAATACAATTCCTTTTCGTCGCTGCCCAAAAGTGTCGACGGATGATTTCTCAGGTTTTCATCCCACGTCTCAAATATTCGTCCCCCAACTTTGATTAGAACTCGTTTCCGTGACGTAGGATTGAAGATTTTGCTGTCTTGTGAATCTATCCTGGATTTTAACTCGACGCTGAAATCCCTCTTTCTGCCTTTCATTTTGCTGTTTCCTTCAAAAATAGAAAATTGCTTATTCATACATATGGTGGTATACGAACGCTTGTTGCAAAACTCATCATATACCTCTGCAGTCTTAGCGGGACGCCACATCAGGGTTAGAAAGGTCTAATGAATTAAAAATATAGTTGACGAGTGCTTGTTATATAGTTCACCACAAACGTGTTTGCCAGAAACTCTGTACTATCGAAACTATGGAACTATAATTGTTTCCTTCTTCTAACTTAGTGAGTATTTAGTACTTGACATAAACAGTAAGTCTTCAAGCGTGTAGAATATAATAGATCACAGCCAGAGCAATAAAGAAAATTCACATCTTTTGTTTAATTTGACTTCTCCTCGTGAAGCCATCAATGATAATAAAAACATTATGTCTTTGTGTGGTTTTCTCCGCAAACAGATCCTTGAAAAAGAATCGAAATAAGGTAACCAGTCACGGGCTAATTAGCGGTTACCATTCGACCCTGGGTTGGAGGATGGGACGTCTAATTTGTCGTTGTCTACCCGAAACGATTCCACAATTCTGCCACCAGTTAAAGGGCAGCATGTGCCGATTGGATGAGAAGAAGAATTCTAATTGCCGGGCGTCGGTAAGGTGTTAATACATAAATTTGTTGATATGAAAATGACATTAAGTTTATAGCATCCTAGCTGACACCTGCTATTGGTGTTGAAAATATAGTGCGTAGAGCATCGTTATTGTCTTTCTACGGTAGTAAAGCTTTATATAGGCATTTTTTGTCGTGATATACCTTAATTGCAGTAATAGTCATACATGTAATATTCAGAAAATGGTTGATAGCTGGTTAAGAGCACATGGAATGAAGCATGCGGGTATTGGCTACTATATGTAGAGTTTGTTATTGTAATAAGGATAACTGCAGTCCATTATCATGACATTAAATATTAAACGCAAGAAAAGAAAATATTCAAAACACGAGTAAAATAGGCTGAAAGCGTGATGCCTGTAGAACTGCATGGGTCTACTAAATATATAACCCCGATAAGTATTTGACACGACGATGACGTGCACACTGATTACTGGAACAAACTTCTAATTTAGAATATGTTGTCCTCACACTATTAATTTTCTTTTCTTAATCTTGCCCAATAATTCTTAAGCATGTTTAAATCGTGGATACGGTCCTTGATTCACTACTAAATTTTGATCCTAACTCATTGCACTAAATTAATAATTATTCTGTGCGTCATACCTATTTCTCAAAAGGTTTTNTGTTTGGAGATGATGGGCGTGGCAGTGCTGAAATTTCACCCCTAAAAGGGACCAATCAATTGTATTAGTTGAATGCAGCACCTACCTTTCATAGGAAATATGACGGCTTAGGGACGTCATATACCCTAAAAGGGACCACAAAACTCAGTTGAGGGAAATTCTCGTCATTATAACCCTAAGTGGGACCAAAATACCGATTTCAAACCCTAAAAGGGACGCCGAGGACCCCCGCCCTTTGATATTAGGGAGTCCCCCCCTCGAGGTTGATACAGACTTTAAATAACCAATATAATCCAAGCCTATAATTACAATTAAGCCATATGTCATCTAGTGATATGTGTTCACATAATAGTTACACACTGATCGCAGCAATTATTCTTTAGAAAATGCTTCGTCGACTTCATCTAGTAAACCCATTTGGAGATTTGCCTACAATAGAACAGCAAACAAACAGGTTAACGCTTCAATAACGATATTCGCTTCATATGCTTTAAATTACCTTTTTCTGTATGATGGGCACAGGTAGTGCAATCATGAGTACCCCCACTATACAACCAACACTACCAACGATTTTACCAAACGATGTACTGGGAACACAGTCTCCATACCTAAAAGAGATAATCAATTCCATCGGCTGATTAATATTTACTAGTTTTTTTTTTTATTAGCAACTCGTTCAGTGACTATTTATAATACATGAGTGTTCGTCACATTTTTTCGTTTTTGTTCAGTTTTGTCCKCGGGGACATTACCAAGTCCGCTTATAATCCTCACTTTWGAGAAAGCGTCGATTAATCAACAAGCATAATGTATGATAGCACTAACCCTAACCCACATATCTTGCTGACAAGCACTTGCATAGATTGGTAGAGGCAATTTTATTCATTCTACTGAAATAGATCACTCGCGCATGCGCATTACTGTATAATTTTCTAACGTATGACATAACAGAATATATATCTGATGTATTTATCATTATCTCACCCTGTGGTTGTCATAGTAATCACTGAGTACCACATGGCTGCTGGGATGCTGTTAAAAAAGTCAGCCGCTGGACCGTCCTTCTCCACGTAATACAACAAACTTGAAATCAAAATGACGCCAAGAGATAAACTAAAGACAATGAAGCCGAGCTCTGATGCCGAGCGACGAATAGCAAACAAAAGGCTACGTAGCCTGCTACTATGGCGTGTGAACTTGAGAACGCGGAATACACGGAGCACTCGCAGTAGCACCAAAGCTCCAAGACTGTCAATACTAAGTTGAAATATATCTAGTATAATACCCAAATAGTAAGGAAGAATGGATATTAAATCTACCATACTCATAAAACACTTGACAAACTCCCATCGGTCAGGAGCTGATATGAATCTAGCCAGGTATTCAAACGTAAAGACACCAACGCAAATACTTTCCAGAATAAAAAATACGTTTTCTTTTGATGTCAGGTAGTCTCGTAGTTCATAACAGGCCTTGCTGTTAATGGCTGAGTCAATAGTTGTTCCAAAAGATGATTCGTTGAATGGTTTATTACATAATTTAGCGTGTTCTATGCTACAAATCAATTTATCTTCACAGGGTGGAGGTACAGTTTCTACCACGGTACAAGCAATACTCAATGCGATCATTAACCCTGATATATAGTACCACACTCCACCAAATACCGATTTCTCTGGGTTATCGAATATGTTCCATATTTTGACCAGTATGGTTTCCTTCGCCGGGTCCACTTCATCCCCGGAATCTTCCATATTAAAGACTTTATTTATGTTAATACTTTTAGGCTGACGGTAATCATCCCAGCAACAATTGTCCACTGCATTAATTGATATCCTGAAAAATGACAGTTCGTCGCGAAACTCGTCCGCACAGTAGTCTATGGAATAATGAAGTCTACCAATCCTGAAAGACAAAATATGTCACTCAATCTACTAGGTAGGCTACTCCATAGTCCTCCCCCTCACACGCAAGGCTCCCTCCTTCAATTCCCTTATGTCTAGCGAGATGAGAGATGACAGTTTTGAGAATATTACATCTACTCCCATCCCCCTCCCCCCCAAAGGGCTGTCTATATAACGCAGGAGAAACAAACTGTGACTTTAAATTAAATATGAACAAACAGAACGATGACATGCCCTCCAGAAATTGTTTTACCAGACAGACTGTATGATAATAGCAATGAAATTATAGTGTCTACATGTTTCAGTCATGAATATGTAAAGCCTTCTTTGGGTTTGTAGAGAACAGAGATGTCATTCGGCGATGACCACTTACTGCGATACATCAGAAATATAGTAAAGTTAATATCAGTAGTCCTAATTGATATATGAGTATTGCGCGGTATTAAAACCACTAAAACGGTTTCAAGTACCAGAAGAGAGGCTTTACTAAACACAAGTGTTTTGGTATATCCTATCTTATTGTTTTTTTCATTTCCAGATGGATATAGCTTCAACGGTATATTATAAAAACACAGGTCAGCGCAGTGATCAATATTTGATTCTATGCCTGGCTCGAAATTAATGACGCCCAAACCACTACAATTAAACTGCTGGGCTGGTATTGGGCATATGTAATCAGTAACCGCAAAAAAAAACTTGCAACGTAAGCTTCTGTGCGGAAAGTAATTAAAGCTAACTTTTGCGTAAGGCAAGTAATTTGCAGAATAACGTGTGAGCACGGACCATGTCTTGGAATACACACGTTTAGATCAAGAGATAATTTCGTTCGTGATAAAACAACCAAACTTATCTCATGAATTAGGAGAKTAGTACAGTCAATTCGTTCTTAAATATATTTTTACAAGCCATTTTGTCTCGCAACAACTAACCAAGAAACACAATAGCAATATTTTTATCAGATGAGATGAATGATCTTGCTTTGTTTTGAACTAACTGTGAGATAAATTGAGATGAATAGATGCGGTGGCCTAGCCATGTATCAGTGTATGTAGGGATACAGCCTGTGTTTAAGTTCAGTGAGGGATAAGAATACCTGTAATAGTTTAAGATGTGTCGAAACATTTGTGGATCGCGGTCGAATGTGTACATCTTTGTCTGTGGGTTAAAATACAATTCCTTTTCGTCGCTGCCCAAAAGTGTCGACGGATGATTTCTCAGGTTTTCATCCCACGTCTCAAATATTCGTCCCCCAACTTTGATTAGAACTCGTTTCCGTGACGTAGGATTGAAGATTTTGCTGTCTTGTGAATCTATCCTGGATTTTAACTCGACGCTGAAATCCCTCTTTCTGCCTTTCATTTTGCTGTTTCCTTCAAAAATAGAAAATTGCTTATTCATACATATGGTGGTATACGAACGCTTGTTGCAAAACTCATCATATACCTCTGCAGTCTTAGCGGGACGCCACATCAGGGTTAGAAAGGTCTAATGAATTAAAAATATAGTTGACGAGTGCTTGTTATATAGTTCACCACAAACGTGTTTGCCAGAAACTCTGTACTATCGAAACTATGGAACTATAATTGTTTCCTTCTTCTAACTTAGTGAGTATTTAGTACTTGACATAAACAGTAAGTCTTCAAGCGTGTAGAATATAATAGATCACAGCCAGAGCAATAAAGAAAATTCACATCTTTTGTTTAATTTGACTTCTCCTCGTGAAGCCATCAATGATAATAAAAACATTATGTCTTTGTGTGGTTTTCTCCGCAAACAGATCCTTGAAAAAGAATCGAAATAAGGTAACCAGTCACGGGCTAATTAGCGGTTACCATTCGACCCTGGGTTGGAGGATGGGACGTCTAATTTGTCGTTGTCTACCCGAAACGATTCCACAATTCTGCCACCAGTTAAAGGGCAGCATGTGCCGATTGGATGAGAAGAAGAATTCTAATTGCCGGGCGTCGGTAAGGTGTTAATACATAAATTTGTTSATATGAAAATGACATTAAGTTTATAGCATCCTAGCTGACACCTGCTATTGGTGTTGAAAATATAGTGCGTAGAGCATCGTTATTGTCTTTCTACGGTAGTAAAGCTTTATATAGGCATTTTTTGTCGTGATATACCTTAATTGCAGTAATAGTCATACATGTAATATTCAGAAAATGGTTGATAGCTGGTTAAGAGCACATGGAATGAAGCATGCGGGTATTGGCTACTATATGTAGAGTTTGTTATTGTAATAAGGATAACTGCAGTCCATTATCATGACATTAAATATTAAACGCAAGAAAAGAAAATATTCAAAACACGAGTAAAATAGGCTGAAAGCGTGATGCCTGTAGAACTGCATGGGTCTACTAAATATATAACCCCGATAAGTATTTGACACGACGATGACGTGCACACTGATTACTGGAACAAACTTCTAATTTAGAATATGTTGTCCTCACACTATTAATTTTCTTTTCTTAATCTTGCCCAATAATTCTTAAGCATGTTTAAATCGTGGATACGGTCCTTGATTCACTACTAAATTTTGATCCTAACTCATTGCACTAAATTAATAATTATTCTGTGCGTCATACCTATTTCTCAAAAGGTTTTCCGTTTGGATTTCAGTATGAGAAACTGCATTTTAAAAAGTGTGTATAGAAGTGTAAACAAAGGTAGTGAATAACACCTAAACAGCCTTCAAGAACGGTTCTGAACACATGGAAAAATGAAAATGTACCAAGGATATGTGCTTTACGCTATCATTGTAATAACCAGGAAGCAATGTGTACAGCTTAAATAATCGTAGGTTAATGCAGATTACAGAGAATGATTGTTTGTCTTTACTAAAATACCAGTCGCACAAAAGCCGCTTAAATTCCATGTAAAACTGTGGATTTTTCAGTTAATGAAAGTTAATTCGCGATATGTATACAAGTACGTAAGCTAGAAAACGGGCGTGGCACAAGTCTGTCACCGTTAATCGTGCAATCCAAACATTGATCTTCCMAGCTAACGACCAAAGATAGAACAATACAAAACTTTGTTGGAAATGCAATGTACACCGATRAATAGACAGTGTTCCCGTTTTTCTCCTTTGTTTCCATAAGACTGAATGAGATGCCATTGTGGCACTATAATTGTACAGTGTGAGTAACTGTCTGGCGCCAATAGTACAATGGAAATTTGAAGCAAAATATCAGAATAAAGACACAAAGTTTTTCTACAATTGTATCTTTGTATGATGAAAGATCAGTAGGTGCTCTCACTGTGACGTCAGATCGCAACCCAGAAATTGTYGGAAGCCTGTCAACAAGACATTGAAAATTGATTGGCAGCCCAACCAAGATATGGTTATGATGGTAATCKTAATGATCCTCGCTACTTTGATATACAGATCATAAATTGTTAAATCTGCAAATTATTAAGAGGAGTTCCGATCCAAAAGATCTCGTGAAGCGACCAAGGAAACCAAGGATTGTTTGTATGCATAAATAGGTAGGCAGTTATTCATTATTGCTGGACAATTTTACCTGCAAAAGAGCTGTTTAAAATTAACTAGTATGTAAACCCTGCACCACATAGATAATTGCTGATTTCTCTGATCTCTAAAGTTGTTTGTAAGTTTTGTTTTTGAAAACCCTGCATTTTGATCATTATGTTTGCTGCGATGCGGTTCAGTCCCTGAAAATTCGTCTCTTGGCCTTTGCCTACATGTATTCTTTGTAAATATGGCTTAGTGATCATAACAATTTGTTTTCGGTACCCAGTGCGGGGGTGGACATACAATGACGACTATTTGCAAAACTGATAGCYTATATAATTGGGATGATTTTAGTCGGACCATGACCAAGACACAAAATGTAACTAATGAAAGTCCATTATTTCTTGATACGTATCAAAGTGCTTTTAATTCAGCGAATCTCCACKGACTGTACACAAGGTACAAGTCACTCAACATTACATGAATTATTGAATCATCTGTAAAACGATGTTCCCCGCTGACTTTTCAGAATAAATCCCTAGAAATGAATCTAGAATGAAAGATACCGTTGATGTTTATGTTTACGAGATATATCACCGCTGGACGAAGGAAAACAGGGCCAATCTCCGATTTTTCTTGGTCTAAGAAATGTTTTAATATGAATAATAAATGAGAGCTATAGACAGATACACTGAATTCCTTTCCAGTCATAATTTATATGAACAGTTTTTACTAATATATCAAGAATGATGTTCTACTGAAATCAACCCAGTATCAAGAAARTCTCACTAGAAGGCACTTGGAATTCTTTGAAACCCATGTATTTTAATCAAAGATTTTGCGATAATGGAAACTACAATTTTGCTGTAAAAAAGGTATTTGCTTTTACGAATACTGGCGACAAATATGGATTATTCATGTTTTGACGTGACATTTTTTGATTTTGTTAGTAAAAAGAGTTGTGACTAACCTGTTCAAGACTTGACAATGTCAAAGAATCAATCGTGAGCCAGCAACAAACACTTATGTGACTAACAAGAGAAAGAAACACTTGTAGRCTCACGAGAAAGGACAGGATTAGTTGTACCGCAATTAGTCTGATGTAACCTCAAATGAAGCAAGCCTGGCTTATGAGAATGATTGTTATATCGTAATACTTTCGTTGATAAGCACCACAGGTAGCCCAGCATCTAACTGAGCGCATACAATACGCTTTTGTCCAGCATTTTCATCATTTCTCAACGATATTAAAAACTTTATCTATAAAACATGTTATTGGAGCAAAACGTGTCTGTTGCAGGAACAATACCAACTAAAAGGCCTCTATCACCCGTCGCTCTCATGCTCGCCATGTGGATAGTGCAACGCTAAGGTTTATTGTATTCCATATCGCAATCATCCCGATGGACGCTACCAATCACGTTGATTACTATTTTGGCAGTGTTTTGGCATAAAGAAGGAGTAGTTAAACGAATCCTTGGGTTGAGGAATGTTGGCTCCCTTTTTGCGAAGTTCATGCTTTCGTACCGTTGGGAGTTTCTGCATCATCTATTGGCTTAGTATTGGAGATTCCTGGGTTAGGAAAGACTGCACCCTGCAATTGCGGCCTCGATATTGTGCTGACTGCAAGCCATCTTCTTATAATCGCTCCTAAGTGGTAAAGACTACATGTTAAGCCTTGAAAAAATGTAAGACATTGCCGAACTTGCTTGATAGCATGATGCCGGGAAGACCATGGGAAGATTCTTACGTGGTATAACGTTTGTCAGAGAACTTTTGTGGAGTCCTTGGATATAGGGACGTCCTTAAAACCTCTTCTGCCTTTCGCGCTTTCAGGGTTTAAAGCTCTAAAAAAGTCTTGTATTAGGGATTTGAGTGAAAATGTTGATGTATATGAACCGCTTTATTTTTAATGCCACCAAAGAAGACAGCAAGTAGACTGAGTTACCTGTACTGACTTCGAGTAATGGAGGTTGAGAATTGGTTTGCACAAAAATAAACCCAGATCTGTGGTTTCACCCCTTGAATAATTCAATTCACGCAGTTCCCGGCGCCAAATTGGAAAAAAAGCCGAACCTTTGGCTTGCATCAAGGCGAGATAGCGATTCAGCCTGCGGTAACAGATAAATTTTTTCAGCGAGGTATGAACTATTATTGCAAGATCAATTGTTTTTACGCTCACCTSAAAATCAATTTTTGCATCGAGGTTACTATTCAAGATGGCGCTGGAGAGTGCAAAATGGAGTGTCGCTCGCCAATCTATTCCAACCCCTATAACGCGCACGCCTGTAGGTTACTGGCATCAAATCATACTGAGCACCGACCAGTTAAACTTGTGTTGGTTCTTGTCAAGTGTCCAATATCGAGCAAAAGCCCCTGTCAATTTGTTTTTTACGGTCACCTGCTAAATGGTTGCCATATGAAATATATGAGTACATTTATTGGTCTAAAATGAGACAGATTCAGGCCATGCATTATGTTTCAAAAGTAATTTTTATTTAAACAATTTAGTAAAGACAACAATGTGCCGATCCATAGAGATTTTTACGTACGTTGCAAGAATGTTCAGTAAGTCTAAAATCAATAATTAGTCATGCATCTAGCGATTGATAATCGACGAGAAAATCCCACTTTCTACCCAAAATAATTCTCTTTCCCGGCATTAGATGTTAACAGTTGTTTATCCAACATCGTTGCCATGGAAACTACAGATTGGTTTATCCCTGTTCTATTAATAATTTTATTGGCAAAGATAAGACTTATACACACAAAGATAATTTTCCGATGGCCTATAGCAACGGCAAACAAAGTTTTCTTCAGTTTTATCATCCTTTGTTCAATTTGATAAAACGTCTGACTGAGTCATGTGGTCAACAACTTCTCTTATTCCTGAATAAACATAAAGTCCGACAAAGGAAAAACCATCACCCGATATTGCCAACAAAGATATATCACAACGAAATCTAATACATTGTTTTTGTAATAAAATACTAAATCTTCGTAAGACGAAAGGTGATAAACGCATTTTCAGAAGATTTAGATAAATTAACAGTAAATCTAAAATAAAAAAGCCGACTGATTGTTGCTATTAGGACTTCCTGAGAGCTCACATCTGTCGGGAACTCGTAGTATTTTTACAGGTTATTCTGACCATTCATGATATTCTCTTCAAGAGCATTTTAAGATGTATTTTTTATGTTAAGTCAGTAAAATTACAATCGATTTTGGTGAAAGACGGCTATCATTGAAGTCAAGAGTGAAAGAAAGCTGTGTAATATTACATTTCTCTTGGCGATGTTCAAGACTTCCGTCACATAGAAGTAGTATTGGTGAGCAATGTTTAACATACAGTCATACAGGTGTAGCAACACAACATCTTTCTCTAATTTATGATTACCATCTCCTTCTACTTTTTCAGTTTATCCATTAAATGAAGAAACCACTGCGTCATCAAATTAACTTCAGCCAATCAAATAGATCCTCTTTAACGTTACCTAGCAACTCATACAATAAAAAGTCAAAAATCGATTTATAGTTGAAGTAGGCCCGCATTTAGATCAGTCAGTCACCGTGGTGAAGAGAAGGCACTTTGAAAGCATCTTGCTTCAAAAAGGTTGCAATTAATCTGTGCGTGTTTCACTAAATACAGGAAAATACAACAAGCAATGGTCGACCATTCCTCGAACCCAACATTTCCTCCACTGCCACCAGATCCTGGAGGAGACCCTGGTCAAGATATTCTAGAGAATGTTTTAAAACAATTAGAAGATTGTGGAGTGAACGGGACAAATTTAACGTCGATTTCGTCCATGAATGATTCGCAGCGGATACTGTACATAGGAAGTCTTTTAGATAAATATAATTGCTCCGGTGCGGGTAATGGGCCACCGACATCAATTCCACAAGTTGGTAATTCTAAAATCCCGCCACACGTTCTGCTTGTTATCTATTTCGTTACTGTAATGGTGCTTGGCTTGCTCGTTAATCTATGTGTTATCGGAACAATCACTCGAGTTCGAAGACTGAGAACAATTACAAACTGTTTCGTACTAAGCTTGGCGTTTGCAGACTTGTTGATGGCTGCTGTAGTCGTTCCATTGCAGATTAAAGAGCTGTACCGACCACAAACTCAATCATCGCCATTTATAGATACCCTTTTTCCCATTCTGGGTGTCGCGTCTCTACTAAATTTGTGCGCTGTGACGCTAGATCGTTACTTTACCATTACAAACCCACTGACTTACGAAGCTAAAGTCAGTTCCGTACGAGCAGGCTTTATCATCGCCTCTATATGGATCATAGCCACAGCGCAGGGATTGATAGATCTACTTGCTATCCCTTTTGAAGATCAACCTGTCTTTCAAGTGGTTCGTTTCGTGATTGTGTTTAGCATTCCATTTATATGCGTAATCTTTGTGAATACGAAAATTTACTGTATTGCCAGAGGTCATGCCAGGCAAATAAGAGCCAACGAACCAGGCCAAACTACTTCTGGTGGACGAAGTTTTTCAAGAAAGATAAAGACAGCGCAAGTCATTGGATTATTAGTTGGCACATTCGTATTAACGTGGCTCCCTTACTTCATACTAACTATCTATGAGCAATTCGAGGAAGGAAAAGGCAACACACCTAGAGCCTTGAAGATTGTTAAAAAAGTAACTGAGGCGTTAGCTTGTAGTACGGCATTGTTCAACCCACTTCTGTATGGATTTCTGAGAAAAGAAGTCCGAATCGCAATAATACGCGGTCTAAAATGTCAGAACGTAAATCTCTCAGATTTGGACACTACCGCGACGGCAGAGAATACGACACGTCGACTCGAAATCACACGAAAGTAAAGAAATCGAACTGAACATTTTCTAAAGAGACACCTCAGCAGACTCTAAAATGGACATTGTTGATATATAGGACTACAGCTCATAAAAAGTACAAATGACTTGTGATGGGTTGATTGATGGACAATTAAAAAAAGAACTATGAAATAAACTCATCATGAATTATGATGGTTGGAGACCTCCATTCTAATCATCTCACGCATATTATGTGTGGGCTGTCAGTTTGTAGTGTTGGGAACCTCCCACCTGCTGTAGTATAATATCTATCACAATAATCGAATATGACTAATTCTGTATCATTTCGTATTAGATTTTCTTATATAGCGGTGTAATGGCATAGGATCAAGTTTAAAAACCTATATTAATTTTAACCTGGTGTCTCAAGGGTTGAAGCACACACTGTTACAGTATGTAAGTGTTAAAAAATCGGACTGAGTTCATGTGCAATATCAATGTTCAGCCCTCGTGGTGTTATCACGTTATGAATAAACATCAATCACAAAACTGGGAAAACTTTACTGTAATGCTTCTATATCTTCATAACAGTATTCTCAACAAAAACCCTCGGGCAATTTGGCAAGCTCCATCAAAAAAATCAACCCGAACAGTCAACAAATTTGAAAGCCGCTTGACAGACAAACTCTCTACAATTCAGACAGTTCCTGAATGTGAAAAWTAAATGAAGAACAAAAAACAAACAGCAAGAATGAAACTTTCCTGTAAAAGGTTAACCGACATACAAAAAGGGTTCAGTCCCACTTTATACAAAATTATAGTTTAGATCAAGGAAAACATACACTCCCTTGAACAAAAAAAGCTTATTTGGTGATAGCATTCTTTCTGAGATGATGAATTATAGCTTCAAATAAACAGATCTTTATGCTAGACAAGCTGAGCTGAATACGTTAAAATAAAATTTGATATTTTTTTCTATTTTGGTCACAATCAACCAATTACAGAGAATAATCAGTAATGTTTAATTTCCACGAAACAAATGAAAAAGAAAAGAAAACTAAAGACATAGCGACCTCTTTAAGCATATCTGAGCTAACGGAACGAAAGCATCCGGTTTGAAATAATGGCCTTATATACGAAGCCGACCTCCGTTCAAAATTTAGCGACGAGTAACTTACGTACCACTAATGAAGAACGAAAACACAAAATAAAAACAAAGTGCGAAAAACAAAGAATTAAATGAAAATACTGACATCCAAATCCTAGAAAATTAGAAAAGACAGTCTGTTCAAACAATGAGAAGGTAGGTTTACATTGTGAGTACAATACGTAAATGTCCTTTTTAGTATTGCTCACTAAATGGAAAATGCAAATTAAAAATTCACTGTAAATGTGTGTTAAAAACCGTTCGATCTATATTACATGCTATAAAACCGTCATCTTGGTTGTGATTTAACGAGGTTTGAAGATTCMTTYGTTTGAGGTTTTAAGAAACAGTAATTTGAAGTGTTTGTTACAGCTGTACAGCAATTTATTGTAKGGTGACAGATCTGATCACAAAAGACCTTGTCGACTTTGATGCTATATATCATGAATCATCGGCGTCTTTTGATTCCTGATTTCATTCATTTCTGTTTATTGACCAATTCGATGATAAAAATGATCTGAAATGAAGGAAATCAGTGGACAAGAAATTAMAAAAACAACTTCGTTTAAGTAGTTTCATGACATTCTATTTTCTCACATTTCACTCATCATCAGGACTACAGTTTCGCCAGCTGCACGATAATAAACTATGTCAGAATATTACTATACACTTGACTTTTTATAGAAATATTATCACAACCGTTCATGATGTCTTGTTGATACAAACTACCCAGGAAAATTTGGCTTTAAAATATTTCCCCTTGATTACAATTAGTTTTGTGGGTAGAGCGTCGCCGCAAGCCGGCTTTTATTTTAAATCTTTTGCTACCGATAAACTGAAGTTGGATTTGTTCAGTATGCAGAATATGTACAACAACGAAACGAGGGGTGGCGACTAAATAAAACCACCTTGGACGAGTAAAGAAAAAAAACCTCATCAACATTATTAATTACACTTGAAAAACTTATGTACAAACTAGAAAAAAAAAACATCACTGTTAGTTTAATGTGACTGTTCGTAAAATATGGACGTGTTTTACTCGTTTGTCATGTCAGTTTGACGCACTGCACTCTTTGATAACAGTCAGAAAACGGCTGTACGACCTGTACCACTCAAGTGAACGATTTGTAACATCAGCGGTGACTTCTTGATGCTATAGCAGCATTCCTTCTTTTTTGCTTGCTTTTGTCAACCCTTTAGCCTATAATTAAGACAGTGATGAGTATTTCAAACAACGAACGACAAATTCATCAGACAGACAAGTATTCAATACTTGGACAGACAGACAGACAAGTATTCAATACTTGGACAGACAGACAGACAAGTATTCAATACTCGGACAGACAGACAGACAAGTATTCAATACTCGGACAGACAGACAGGTGGATGAAAGCAAAGCCTAAAGTCAACGAATGGTGCATGACGGAACACATACCTTGGCGTGTATGACAGGGACCGGGAATGAGATAACTAAAGCACCGATGATACAACACATTCCACCAATCATTTTACCGATCAACGTTACAGGAACGATGTCACCATACCTAGAAAATAAAATACGAGACTATTCAGTACAGCTGCCAGTATTCAACCTAGCGTAGTGGTTAATTGCTGGACAACATATGAATCTTTCAAAAATTGTCCCCATCGCCGTTTCGTTGTTTTGTTTTGTAGGTAATGCATGTACATACCCTAACGTTGTAGTTGAAACAATAGTGTACCAAATGGCCCCAGGAATGCTCACAAATGGCGTGCTTGGATCAGTTCTTTCCATGTAATACAAAACACTAGAGAACAGCACAACTGTAAGAGAATAGCTACACAGCAAAACGGACAGCTCGTGAGACGATTTCTTTATTGAATGGAAAAGTTCAGTTAATTTCTGACTGTATCGTGCGAATTTGAGAACACGGAATATTCTGAAGACCCGAAGAACAGAAAAGGATTGCAGATCTTGATTCTTTCCTTGGTACAACTGCTCAACGATGATGTTAACATAAAAAGGAACTATGGCCAACAAATCGATGACATTAAATGGTTGACGTACATGTTGGCATGGTGATGACGAAACGAGGACCCCCAGTATATATTCGGCAGTGAAAATAGGAACACATAAGGAATTGATCACAAAGAACAATGTAGGATAGCATTCACCAAGTATCTTGTCAGCTTGACAATGGATAGTTTCTATTGCATTGGCACATACATTCACAGCGATAACAATACCAATAAAGACGTGAAAAATTCTTGCTCCATACGATGACATGGGGTCTTCTAACCCTCGGCGAATCCTTCCTCTAATCGTGTTCGCGTCATCCAGTTCTATGTCGTGAACGTCATTCTGGTCTGGTGCCTGGAAATCATCGTCTTCCTGTCGACAGGTTTTGTCAAGATAATCATCTAAACAGCAAACACCAGTAAAGTTTTCTAAAGGAATTCCAAAAAACTCCATTTCTTCACGATATAATTCCCAGCATTCCATGTCGTATTCATAAGGACAGTGGATTTTTCCTGTCAGGTAAAAACGACTTACATATCTGAACATGTCAGGATCTCTGTCAAAGAAAAACTCGTCTTTTGTTGAGTCATAAAAGTGCTTGATGTAATTTGTCTTTGCTAGCAGAGTATCAGGATACCTCATTAAATGGCTTTGGTGGACCTTGTACCTGCGCCCTCCAACGTTCACACTTATCATGTCTAGAAGAAGACGTAAAAAATGTGACTGATAAATGCCGGATTACTTTATCAACGTGAGCTCTTCTTGACTTACCAGCGATACAAGATTTCCAATGTTGTTGTTTCCCAGATAGCGTCAATAACAACTATCAAAATGTGTGTCGGTTTTCACCATTCACCAGCTATKCACGTGACATATTGAACAGCTGGTTCGTACGCAGTCATGCATTGCGCGAGTTGAACGACTGCATTTGGAGTTTTTAAATTCAGTCGAAACCTTGTTTTACGTTGAATGCATTGCCAGCCACTGGCTCATTTTCAGTCTTTTACGCTTTTTTAAGAATGAAGCAGCTACGTTGAAAAAAAAAGCTTCACCACAATTGTTTCAATTTTCACCGTTATAGTGATTGGCGGCGAAAGTTGTTAAAATATTTAATCTTTAATAACTTGAATATTAACTCATAAAAAAACGATAAGAGAAAAATAAATCAATTATTGACGGTTGTGCAATGGGACGGTCTATCGCTATACGATACCCACAAACATAATCTAATAGGATGATTKCAATTAAATACGTTATTATTCAGCCTTTATGTGCACCAAAATTATACTCTTTTGATAACACTATTCGCTTTCACCACCAAATATCAACATTCAACCTGATCATGAAAGATATATTGTTTCGCGTGCACGCTAATTTAACGCAGTTTGTTGTTGTTATTATTATTTTAGTCTTTCTGTTTTAAACAGAAAGCAGCTTCAAAGATAATCGTATCACTGATTTATATCTATCATCAAATCTTTACGACAAATGGAAGTTTAACTTTCAACGTAACTTTCTATGAAATTATATGAAGAGCCATTTATGCAATCACTGGAATGGGAAAGATGATGCACTAAATTAAATTACAAAACAAAAATAATAAAGAAAGAAAAGAAAAACATAGGAAGGGTTATATTTTCAAATGTTTTCAAATCCAACTTTCCAACATCGCTAAAATTGAATGCATATCAAGTCAAGTCAAGTTAAAAAAACATCACTCAAAGTATCCCATCAATCCAGCCTATGTTTATTCTTGCACTCACACTAAATGTTTGGTTATATTGTCAGCTATAAGATTCTTGCTGTCAAAATGTTCAGTAGGGATTCTCATCAAATGAATTCAACATAAAATAAAAAAAGTTTGACATTTTCATCAATAACCATGTTATTTTGTTTTTGGAAATGATTAAGTTCCCACATTATGCACTCAATAAATATAATATACACACGAACCATGCCTTCACTCATTGCATCCATGTCATGCCATCTGTCATTTCTTCATGTACTGTTCCTAGTTTTAAGGATTTTCTGCATCCTTGGGGTGTGCTGTTAAACCTTGCAGGGGTAAGCTGATCAAGACTAAGTTGGTTTGGTGATAATAAGAAGTCAAAGTCTGCTTCTCTGAGAGGAGTAAAAAAACCACTGTCAGAATCATACTTTAGAGGTGTAAGTCCTGAATGGAATGTAGACAATGGTGAAGACTGGACAGGAATTTGAGATGCTGCAATTGTCCCTTTTGGTGTAGAAAGGTGAGCTGGTGTGAGAATCAATGAGTTAAACTCTTGTATCTTGGAATCTTTATCAAATATGCCAGAGTCATTGCAGGGAGCAGTGTTCATTGCTGCAAGTGTAGGAAGAGTTCTGTCTTTCAGAGGTGTCTTCTTAACATGCACAATAGAACAAGGCGTTAAGCTGTTTTCTTTCTTTATCTTCTTGATTGCAGGTTCACAATTTTCCTGGTTAACATTACTTGCAGTAGTTGCCAAATTTTCAGTCTTAAAACTATCCAATGCTTCTGAGAAGTTTTTGTTCCTCAGGATCTCTTCCATTAAAGATGTAAACACTGTTCCAGTACTGACTGTGTTTTGTTGAGTATCAGGTAGATTATTTTTAACTTTTATAGTAGAGTCTTGTCCTTGTGTTACTGTAAAAGTTAAATCATTCTTTTTATTGTTGGCAATCTTTGAAGCAAGCTCAACATAGATATTAGTAGGTAGGATAACAACTGGCATGACGGTCTTTCCATTTGCAAAGGAACACACACCAGGTACATTGTCATTATAGTAYTGTTGAGCTTCTCCTGCTGGTTTGGGTAAAATAGGTCTCAAGTTACGACAAACTTGTCCAGAGGTAGCAAGTGGATTTTGTACAATTGGTTGAGCATGCTTCATGACTTCTTGCATTATATTTTTCTTTCCTTCAGGTGAGATGGACCAGTAACTTCCTTTGCCAGGCAGATCAAGGGGTCTTTTTTCTTTAAGGAAAAAACTATGCAGTGAGAGATTGTGCCGGATAGAATTCTGAAACGAACAAAATGATAGCGTAAATCAGAATGACAATCCCAAGCTAATGCAGGCTAAAGTTAGAAAAATTATCAACAAGCACAAGAATTAATATATCATACTCCGTTTATCAAAGAAAAAGACTTACTTTCCAAGCCTTTTTGCACTTTTTATAGTAAGGGTAATTAGTTTCTATCCACTTGTAGATGTCTTGTAGTGTCATCTTTTTATCATCTGTGCTGTTGATAGCTAGCAGAATCAATGTAGCGTATGAATATGGCGGTTTAGAGTAAGGATTGGGAGAATCTGGTAAGATGGCATTTGATAATGCATCTTGAGCCGCGTTTTCACGAGCTTGAAGAAGTTCAGAGGATTCTAGTCCACACAACCATTGAATGTTGGTAAGACTGTCGTCCAGCGAATTACCACTCGTGGTCCCTACGAAAATATCATCATAAGTTAGTACAAGCTACCTATTATGATGATCTCATGTTTAATAGCAATCTCAAACAGAAATATAATGATTTAGGCACCGTGTTGAAATGAATACAAGCTTTATAAAAGCGTGCCCAGTGCAAATATCAACGACTATCAAACAGACCGTCACGATTCACTCCCTCATCGTCACTGACAAACAATATGATTTCCTATACATGAAATAATTTGTTACCTTCTTTTGAAGACATTTTCCTGCTAAAAGTAAGAAATTAACATAAAAAAGGCAAAGATTTTGACGTTGAAATGAACGTGGAACAACTCATCAAACAACTGGTAACATTTAAAATCCTCGCCGTTTGAAATCAACCAATCAAAACAAAGCCTCGACTAAGTGTATGAATATCCCATGATGCATCACCGGAAGTGACTGAAAGTTTCAAGACGACATCAACATGGTGGATGATCATCATTTTTCTGATGGTTAAAAACTGCTAAAATAATTAAGAAGATGGTGTGTAGATACAGCAAAGAAGTATTTTTTGGTATTTTACTTCAAGTAGCATTATGTTTTCAAGAAATTTCTAGAATATCGCGAGGTAAGATTGTGAACAGCTGTCAAGATTTGTGAAGCACTTCTGCTAGTGATAAGATGTTCTAGCAAAAATTGTAAGAATTGACCTAAATATGCTGCATGTTATTATGCCATTTGCTGTTGTCATTGGGTTCGATGGGATCACATTTTTTAACTTTTCAGATATTACTTTGCCGCATACAATACCACATTATATKCAAAGTGCAAATTCCAAAAAGTATGAAATATCCTCCAGTGGTGGAAAGGTTTTCGATCTTCAGTCAAGAGTACAGTTGGATTTAACTCTGAGAAGAACTGAGGATAGTTGGTCCTTTGTGATTTTCCATGCTCATTCAAAGTACAAAGACATACAAGTTTCATCTGATCCATCATTTAATTATTCCACTACAAACATAGGATCTGATGCTTCCATCCTAACAAAGCTTCCTTATATGAGAAAGGGGCAGTATATCCACTTTTATATCAAAGCCAACTCTTCTGAAGAGTTCCAAGCAGATGTGTTCTCAACCCCATACAATAATGGTGGTTAGTGACAATAATTCGATTACAAAATGTGCTGTAGAAAGAGGTTTCATAGTTATTGAATGATCAAAACAATTATTTTTTTAATAATGATATTGTAAGCCTTTCATAAATACCTCTATAAACATGTTCTATGGGTTTATTTCAGCTCCATTTCCTGGGGGATGTTGTCTAACCTGTAGTATGGAAATAGATCCAAACCTTTACATAACATATAACAATTCTAACCTTAAAACAACACTGCTGTTTTCACATGCCAATGTGTACTACAGAAGGTAAGCCATTTCACAATAAAAAATTTTCAAGGCAATGCTCAAGCTAAGGTTTTTGCTTGTAACAYACCAAATCTCTTGATTATTTTATACCTTATAAATGAATACCGCTGAAACTTTCCATATTATAAACTGTTTTTTCTTAGAGGTAGCAAAGAAGTGCCCTGTGACAGCAATGAACATCACCAATCACCAGAACACTACAGGCTTGAGTACAGCCTTTATCAGGCCTTTCTAGATGAAGGAAATTTGGATGAAGACAAACTTTTTCAAGGATTGGGAATGATGTCTTCACCATCTACCATCAAATGCTATGGTAAAAAGGTACAAAGGTTTCATAGTAACAATGTAGTAAATTCAAAAATTCCTACATAATTAATGAGCTATTTGGCTAATTGGATTATGGTCACATGCACAAGCCTTTATATCTGATGAAACATTATTATTGGTATTCTTTAAGAATACTAATGAGGATGACCTATATCAGATATACAATGTTAAGGTCTATGATCATAGCAGAGGTCTCAAATTTAAAAAAATATGTTATCAATGACCAATGCAGGATTTAACTAATACCAGTAAAACAGGAACCAGTSTTACTACTTTACTTCGTGCATATTCTATTTGGGATATAACAAATGCACTTTGTTCAGTGATTTGTGTATGACCAGGTTGTCCCATTCTTCTSAAAACTAATTTTTACAACAATTTCTTTAAACTTATAATCTGATTACATGATTAGATACGACGATTACATTTATTGAATGAATATCCTGATAGAGTACAAACAGTAAAACTGTGCAACATAAATACCACTAAATACTGCTAATTCTATTGTTTTCTATTGTTTAATTAACACTATTTTGTGGGAAATGTTGCACACATTTAATGTTTCTACTCTATAAATGATTGGTTATTCAAAGCTAGATTAAACTGTGCCATTAAAGTAATTCATAGAGTACATGTATACCTTAACCCAGGGTTATGATTAATTGAAAAAACCAGCCAAGTGTTTTTAATASTAAAGCTATATTTCTTGGTTCATGCACAAAGATTGCCAGTCTGAAGGCTCCTGCTATACCAAGAGTATACCTGGACACAGTTCCTGGTCAAGGAATTATTTATAATATTATAGTGAGTGATCCCAAGACCAATACTGAAGCAGCATATTCACCAGCGCACACTTATGGATGTAGTTTTACATCAAAACTTGGCAACTGTCACTCTGTTGGTATGTATTATGTGACGATGATTCAGATCACTCACCAGACTGCATTGTACAAGTTCACAGAATATTGGCTTAGTGAAYTCTGTCATGACTTAAGCTGCGCAAAGCCTTAAAGTTGCTGTTGTGACCATTTATTGGCATCTGCAAGGACTGTCATCCTTGACATTTGTTACAAAAAGAAATTCTGGCAGGGTGTAATTACTTTTTTTAGTATTAAAGATGAACTGTACATGATTGTTGACCATTTTAATATAACATCATATCAAAATTAATCTAATTCTTATTTAGTTTCAACAATCAATAAGGTCTTTGCTGTCATTGGGGCTGTGATTGCACTCTTTATGTGTTTCATGGGGCATCGTTATTTCAAGCTGGGTAAGTTGACATAAATTCCTTAGTCTATATCATGATACTAACAAGATATTTTGGTTGTAGCTTTGTTTTTAGGTGGCCTTATGAATTGTGGTTTTATATGCTTTATAATATTATCGGAATCCACAAGCTTATCACATACAGGTACTGAAGCTGTTAYAATGGCTAAGATTCTTAATTTCGCTGTCACATAAAACGTAATGTGCTTATTGCATTTCGTATTATCAATACATTATTGGAACTGCATTTTGTGTCTTTTTTTTGTTCAGGGCTGATGCTGTCCAGTGCAGCTCTTGGTGCTGTTGGTGGTATTTTAGTGTTCCTTCTGTGGTGGTTTACTGAGTACATTCGGCTATGTTTGCTCATTAATGCCCTGTTCCTTGGTTTTCTTGCTGCTGGGTGCTTGATGTTTTCTCCTGTTGGTAATTCAACTTGCTGTATATTCTCTAATTGAGAAATATTTAATGATATTGCTTGGTGACACATTATTGAATGATTGCAATAAATTATTGTGTCAACTTGTCTTTGTAGGCTCACTGGATGCATGGCAAAGTGATTTTAACTATGGAATGATGGTGATAGCTGTAACTCTTGTTGTACCTTTTATTATGTTACCTTGGCCTAAGTTAGTAAGTATGACATCATGGTGTTAATTCTTGTACATGTAGTCGATGACATTGAGTCAGCTATGAAGAGTGTATAATGTTAATAATAATAATAATTTTATTAATGCTCCAAAAGTGCTCTTCAGCAATAATTTACAAATAAATGAATATTTATAAATTTTCAATAATTTAAAAACTATGAAGATAATAATAAGTGATTTTAATGTTATGCTCGTCAATCTTGTCTTGGATTACATTGGCCCATGATGTTTTTAAGACCTTAATGTGCTTTGTTAATACATGTATATGATACCAACAATGCCCATTATGGCCAAATGACCTCAGGACTTCCTTGTATAATACAATGATTTCATTGCCTTTCTTGTGATTGCAGTTGAATATTGTCTACACTTCGGTTGTTTCTTCTTATGGTTTTATCATTGGTAAGCTTATTTTTTTGACTAATTTGTTTTTGCTATAGACCATATGAAAAAGGATGTGGCTATCATAACGCCTGAGCTTATAAGTTGTATAATATATCATTATTATCCGTTAAAGAAAATATTATAATGAGTGAGGTCTGAGTGTTTCAATGTTCTTACAAATGTTTGAGTGAAAATCAGTATTGAAGCCTCGTTTTCACATTTTTAGCACGTTTTAAGTCCTCCTAGCTCTGCCATGATTTTACCATTTRAAACTAAAAATACGCCACTGGTTTAAATATACTCTTTTTCATCGTGAAAACAGAGTTTTGAAAGAATGGACCGTTTAAGGTGCTCATTCCCAGTCTACTGCTCGTTTTTCATATGGTCAATTCCTCATTTCCACTTTGGATCAATGTCCTATACACATTAATGAAATACAGGGAAATAAAAGTATGACTTCTTTAGGTATTGATGCATTCATACACACAAGTATGTCATATCTAGTGCTGAATATCATCATCCGTGCAATCGAAACAGACTACAATACTGTGATTGTRATAAGACCATTCCAGCTTAAAGGTATTCCAATACTAGCATTAAACAATGTGGTCATTGTTTATGGTGATATTCTGGCGTCAGTTTGAGGGAAAAGTGCAAAATGCTGAAATAGGCGATTTTGCGCACTTTCTTTTTTAATGGTTTTAATCATTTTGTTMATCTCCAGCGCGATTATTAATCTAAACAATAATGTAAATGCGCAGGTCTTGCTGGTAGTTGTAGTAAAGTTACTCCATCTTGCAAGTGACAACAAGTGTATTGATTTTCTTGCAGATATTATACTGTCCATTACATGGGTGATTCTAGCTATCCTAGGTATGACCATTCAATATGTTTTGGCAAGAAAACGAATGGATTTTGGAAAGAGCGGATACTTAGAACAGCAACGAGCCAGACGATATTATGACAGGACAGATGTCAGTGAGCGTACACCCATTCTCATCAATTCTCATGGATATAAAAGTAATGAGATATGCTGATTTACTTAAATTGTACAGAAATAAAGTAATTTTGAATATATCTGTGTGATTGTATGATGATATTGAGCAGCCGCCCACCCTATCAATCAACCTTTCATCCCGTCACTCAAGAAATCAATCTTCCAAGCATTTTAACAGCTATAACAAAAATGTTTCCTGATAACAAACTAAGGAATAGCTACTCATTACACTTAACCTTTGAAATGGTAGTCTAGCAGTTAGTAGCATTGCACGTTTGAAGTGTTTAGTGATCYATTTCCGTTGTCGAGTGACTGCGCAAATACTGCGTACTAAATAGCGTATTCTCAATCTTTTTATTGGCATATTTCTGACCTTGTTTTGTGMGATGCACCCATTCTGTAGTTACATGAGAGAAATATCATAAAGTTATAGTGCTCAGAAGGAGGTAATCCCAGGTGAAAGACCCTTAGTAATAAATTTATAAAAATTAATTTACGACATCGCTGGGATTTGAACCCTCGATCCAGGTCGGAAACTAATTTTTACGAATTTTAATCAAGGCTTTTTCGCCCGGAATTACCTCCTTCTAAGCACTATAACTTCATGATATTTCCATTTCATTTATCTTATAGTGCTATGTGGTCAACATAATCATATCCTGTTACCCCTTATTAGAAAAATCTGTACTATCAACAAGAATTATGGGAGAAGCTGAGATACACAGCCTCGACATTCCAAATTATTTGTGCGTTAGCGTCACCGTTCAACAATAGTAATAATATGTATAGCTGAAGTGTGTTCGTTATAGGATGCATCTTTAATTTACATTAAGAGTAGATCTACTTGTTGAACTTGTTTTTTTTATTTTTTTTTCTGGTCGACATATAGTCTATGTGTTAACAGATCTGATATCTTTTAAASAGTAGGAGTGATCGTGCAGSCAAGGAAACAAGTCGTCCTCGTATTTTTCGGCAGTAACTTGCCAGTACTGTTCCAKTTCATTCACAATTAASAGCAGTTCATTTTCTAGCAATTGATCGTTATTGATGTCAAGACATGTTTCGATATTCCATGGAAAAATAAACATGCCGTCAAGGTCTTCTACCTACCAAAAGAATAAATAAGCAAAATTAGATWRAATGGCAATTCTAAAATAAGRGTATTGTATTGCCTGCTCGCATAGAGTRTATTCTGTGGGTCCTTGCCCCACCCCATATGGGCTCTTRSCCCACCGGGCGTCAAAACTCGTGTTATGAAAAGTGCGCTACCTCTAAAGCTGCTTTACAAAATCATCAGTTGTGGATTATTTTCGCTTTTTAGCTCCATCTTTTTTTGAGAAGGACTTGTATTGATAGAACAATTCGASGAGAAGTGGTCTTCAATTGTCCGCGGCGTTCATTTAGCGTGATACTAGCTTTGGGGTATTTAGTTTGGGATTTCATTGTAATTTGTATGCATACAAGACCACAGCAAAGTAATTGATGTCAAAATCGGAGAAACGCCATAGTGAATTCAAAGTTATAAAATTAAATGAGCGTTTTATGTGGCGCGTTTTCCACGATGATCTTACTTCAACTCGGCCTTTCAAAGAATGCTCCGATCCTAAATTTCCCGTTTGTACCTCGCAACTTATTAGCTCTTCCACATCCAAATCACCAAAATCCAAATCATGTAAGTTGTAGACGCCTAAAACCATTTCGATAACAGAATCAACCCAATGATAGCAACATTCCATTTTGCACGCTGGTTTTGCAGTCAACGCGTTCAAAGTAAGCGCGCGAGRAATTTCAAAATATATGACAATTAAGACGTTAGTCCGTGCGTACGTAAGCATCAGACATACAAAATAATAACCACGCAACRCATGAAGAAAAATGAAAAGTCGCACGATTAAATACGTCTTCGGGTGTTACATGAAGTGCCCAAAAGCACTTCCACTTATTTACACGTACATGTACTGTAATATGTACTGTAATATGTACTGTAATATKTACTGTAATATGTRCTGTAATATGTACTGTAAKATGTACTGTACCCGGATATTGATGACTGTTAACAATACACTGTAACGCCTTCGTACCGGACATGGTACATAATCTCACTAGGTAGACTATGAYACTGTACCGMACTAGGTACACTATCGAGCTAGGTAGACTATGATACTGTACCACACAAGGTACACTATCCCACTAGGTAGACTATGATACCGTACCGCACACGGTAAACTATCTCACTAGTTAGAGTATGATACTGTACCACACAGGGTACACTATCGCACTAGGTAGACTATGATACTGTACCRCACACGGTACACTATSGAACTAGGTAGACTATGATACTATACCACACACGGTACACTACCGCACTAGGTAGACTATGATACTGTTCCGCACTAGGYACACTATCGCACTTGGTAGACAATGATACCGTACCGCACACGGTACACTAWCGCAATAGCTAGGCTATGATAACGTATCGCACACGGTACACTATCGCACTAGGTAGACTATGATACCGTACCGCAAACGGTACACTATCGCAATAGGTAGACTATGATACTGTACCGCACACAGTACACTATCGCACTAGGTAGACTATGATACTGTACCGCGCACAGTACACTATCGCACTAGGTAGACTATGATACTGAATCGCACACGGTACATTATCGCACCAGGTAGACTATGGTACTGTACCGCACACGGTACACTATTGCACTACGTAGACTATGA